ATCGAGGACACTTTCGTCCATCGATGAGTTGCTGAGAACCCGTTCGTTCTCAGCAAATACTGTGGCCGACCGAATATCGGCCACATACTCATCCTCTGTGACGAGTATGCAGATCTGCTTGACTTTGCCACTACGTAGATCACGCAAGAAGCGTTTCGGTTCTAGCGTTGGCAACTGAGTTATCTCCGAAGTCAACTTCGGGGGCACAATCAGATCAAGCGTATAAGCGCCTACACTTGATCCGTCATTGACCAAGACGTTCAACGTCTCGGTTTCTTCTTGGGAACTTGCTTCCACAGGTTGCTGAGGGCCTGATCCCTCAGCAAGTGACTCTTGAGTAATTCCTTCCTCAAGTACGTGGGGACTTATTCCCTCGACGTCTTCTGGCTGTGGCTGTGCAACCACAGTCAGGCACCGATCCTCTACGGTCGACTCTCCAGTCGACCTAGGATGTCCATGTTTCCCTTTGAAGGCAACAGGTTTCTTTTGTCGAAGATGCTGCCCGCTAGGCATGCATCCATGTCCCCGTCCACTCGACTCCTTCGAGTGGTGGACCTTCGGCGCCGCATGTACTTCTGTACAGCCGCCGGGAGCTTGCTCCACAGTGTAGTGATCAACTACACTGTGATCTTGTGCAGTCGTGCTAACGACCGTACCGCAAGTGAGGCCATCGCACTCACTCGCAGAACATCCACACGCTTGTGGACGCTCCAAGATGTTCATCAGATGTCTATCTGATGAACAAGTGGCAGGAATCTTCACGAATCGATGCTGCCAGCTCACCCTTGACTCGTACTTTCTGAGCCAAGGTAATCCCAGGATGACATCGAATTTGTCATCTAGATCGAGTACGATGAAGTCATCATAGTAATGTTCGCCCTCTAAAGTGTAGTGGATTCCTACTACACGTTTCTCAACGGTAATCGATGCGCCTGTTGCAAGGCGCACCGTCATCCTCGTGAGGGGAATGTCGCGCTCAACGAACTTGAGCCTACGACCCTCTAGTGACTGGCGACGAACAAAGTTGTTCGACGCTCCACAGTCTACTAGGGCACGAAGCGACAAATCATTTGTCTCTTCCAACTTCAAGGTGATGAGAGACAAGTCATCACCATGTGCAGAGACACACAATGATTGTGTATCTGGAGCAACTTTCGTCAAGAGATTTGCAAATTCTCTTGAGGTTGCTCGATCAGTAGGGCGCTCCGCCCCTACTGACCCCGACCATTTTTTGATGGCCTGCTTCGCTGTTGCGGTTTCCCAACAGCGTTGGACCTACGCTCATTCCCCATTTTGGAAAATGGTCGTTCATTTTGCTCAGTATTGTGTGGTACTGGGCGTGGAGCACTACACTCATATGCGTAGTGCCCTAACTTCTGACAGCGATTGCACTTCTGCAATCGCTTGTTGTTTGAAGAGCAAGGTCTCTCGCTTTCAACATAGCAGAGGTCCATTGGTTCTGGACCTCCGATCTCTTCTCGTCTTGGTGGACGATAAGAGTTTGAGCTAGCATGAGCCTGTCTCATGCTAAAGTCCTCCTGTTCCGCGGCTGATATCGCATCTTCCAGCGTATTCAGCTCAAGGCGGAACAGGTGGCTCCTGACGGGCCCTTCTGCGAGCCCTTGCATGAACACCGTAATCAACGTGTGTTCATGGACTGGTTTAGTAGTTATACTATTCGCGAGGAGTCGTATATGTTGAGCGTAAGCGTGCACATCACGCTTACCCTGCTTGAGTTCCAGGAGCTCTGAACGAGCCCTGAACTCAGCCCGTGGCGGCTCAAACGTTTGTCTGAGCCGGGACTTGAAGTCATATAGCGACCTAAACACTTGTGGATCGCTACTCTCGAGCCCCAGGGACCAAGTTTTGGCACGTCCTGCCAAGTGGGTTTGAGCAAATGTGAGTTTCATTGGCTCATCTTCGACGCGACGAGCCCTTAAGGCTCTGTCGAGTTCGACAAACCACAGTAACAGGGAGTCTTCCGGGACTCCACTGTACTTGGAGATGTCAACTTTCATGACTTCGGGACGACGCGCATGTGCCGTCCCGCCCACAGCAGCATGGAATTGCTGCTGTCTCAACAGCTCTGTCTGTTGAGCACCTAGTTCTCTCAACTGCTCGGCCTGTTGAGAGCCTTGCTGGTGAAGCAAGACCACTTTCTCCCTTTCGGCGACAAGTTCATTTTGAATGAAATTTGCTATAGCGGCATGTTGTTGGTCTCTGTCTAGAGACTCCAACATGGCGCTAATGGCGAACTCGCCTACGGTAGAACTCATTCGTTCTACCGCACTCCATTTGATGTCACTCAAATGGTTAAACCCTTCACGCGTGGCGTGAAAGGTCTCTTGATCATCCAACATGTTTATGTTGGATGCTGTGGTCCTTGGAAGGACTACAAAGTGCTACCAGGTGTAACGGGGCACACCCTTGCGTGAACTTATGCAAGGGTTTCGGTGCGCCCGACAGACGTACACAAGGCAAGCGAGGAAGCGTAGGTAGGGTAAAAGCAGAACTGTTATATTAATATAATTAAGTCTTTTTGTTACTGTCTCTCTGTTTGACTTAACTTAATTATACTAATATAACTGAGTGTATGACGACGTCTACTCACCACTCATTGCGCGCTTCTAGCAGCGATTGGTGGGTTAACAACGTCAAGATATCAACCAATGAGCAGACTCTTTGGTCGACCCATCAATTCCACCACCATTGGTGATATTGTTAAAAGAATATTCAACATAATATTCTTTATTGTCATTATCTTCTAAATCACAATTTCCATGTAACGGGCTGCCCCGTTACAATTACGGGGTGAAGGGCGAAGCAAAATAAAGCATACAGCACCATGCAGACACTCAGCTTAGCTGTTAGAAGCGTATCCGACGCATTGCGCGTCAACAAGACATACAACTCCTATATAAAAGCACGGATGTCCAGATCACAACATTCCGTAAAGCCACAAGCAGATATACCGAAGTTATTGTGTTTGCTGCATGGCTGTGCAAATATGCGTAGTGGACGAGGTAAACACTGGTGGCTCACTCGTTTGTAAGCGACAAGAATAAACAGTGGATGTGCTTTTACACGATGGAACCAACATGGATAGCTGCTTCGTGCTGACATCTAGCAACGTAGTGTCTGAAAATCAATCACCACGAACCTACCCTCCAAGACTACACATAACAAACGTTCTTACGCATAGGACGGATAACAAAGTTCTTTGCGGACGAGTAGGTAGCGTTATTACGAAGTAGCTAGACAAGCAATACGACGACGATTCAGGTGGTCTCAGCTATCGGTCGCACCAAGGAACACACAGGAAACGGTCAAGTCGGTGTATGGAGCGACGCAACACGAAAAAATGCCCGTCTTTCATTTTCGGTGAGTTTAAGGGGTTCTCTCCAGTGCCTGGTGTAAGCACTAACCTTTAATGTCAGCGAGTGCCGGGTCGATTCCCTCTGAGACCTAAGCAAGGTTTCTAAACGATGTCGGACACGTACTGCTTGATGGCACCACCCGGGACATCCATATATCCGGTACCTAGCCTATGGCCTTTCGGCGGGACTAATCTTTCGAAGCATGAACACCTCCGGAAGTGCATGATCCTCCGATGTGGGGGCGTGTGTGCGCAGGAGTACAGCCGGGTCTGTGTGGCATACAGGAACGGAGTATCCGACACGCCCGTCGCGTGGTACGATAATCCCAGCACCCGCTAGCGCACCCGTATCGCAGCCGTAGTTAGCATACCGGCAAAGGATGCGTTGGTCTGCGACGAAGAAGATGTCTCAACGATGGCCATTGTTGCAAGACGAGCGTGAAATCCGTCGTTTTTGGAAACCAGTGTATGATCTAAGATCGTCTACGCTAGTCTGTACCAAAGAGCGAGGCAACGGAATGGAAAAAGAGCTGGCAACGTGGCAAAAGTATCGCCCTGGAAGAGTGCTAACGATGTCGTGTGAAGAATGGAACAGCCAAGCTCACGAGGTCTTGTCGAAATTACGTGATACTGTAACTGTTCGACCGGGGCACGAGCTGCACGGAAAGTTCCTGATTGGTTTGCCTGCCGGGGTGCTGAAGCGCAACGACGGCTATGAACACATGCGACCAAACGAACTGCCACGTTTATGCGGTAGCGATTGTCCCTTTAGCATAATGAATTGTGGACCTGGGTCAGACAAGTGCTTTTACCACACACAAATGGACCATCGTCCTGACGCATGTACTAGTAAATATTGCCCGGATGCCACGATCCCATCACTTCGTACCGGCTTAACACTTAGCAAGTGCCTAGTCGGTACGAGGTAGCGGTAAGATCGGTATGAACAGTGCTCGCAACTTCCTTTACGTGATCGATTTGTATCCGGCCGAGACGTCGGTGTGTGTCCGAACGTCAAAATGAGCGACATCGCACAGACGACTGCCTCGATCATTTGATCGCGAAGTCCTGACACGTCAAATTGATGTCTCAGTCATGTAGGATGCGTGAGGAATGATGTACGTAGTGCTTTGTCGAACTTGAAATGATCGTGAGAATGCCGAAGAGTGTTGTAGAAAGTGTCGGGACTACCTGGGTCGCCGACGCCGCTTACATTAGAGGTGGAAAAACTTGCCCTCGTCACAGTCACCAGAAAAAGGTAGTCTATTGAGAATGGTTGAGTCGTGTTGGAGACAGCCGTAACAATTGTGAAATCTGGTTATTATCGTAGTGTTGCTCAGGCGGTATCGCTTACGTTGACAACCAACAGAGCGAGCGAACGTCGATTGTCGGTGCTCCCGCTCTTTGATCGCTAGTAGAGCGAACGCCGATATGGGCGGAATCGACGTTGTTGCTCACCACAACAAGGGCAATTGCCATACCGGCAATTTCGTTGTTCACCGTAACGCAAGATCAATCGAGATCAAGCGACGGTGAGATGATATGGAAGGGGCTCAACAACAACATCTCTCGGTGCGAATCCCTCCATAGCTGCTCTTGCGTTCGTTCCCCCTCGTAACTCGTACTACTTCTCGACGCGCTGCAATGCTGCGTCTTTGTCGTCAGATGGCGCCGCGGTGATTTTCGAGAGGGCAGCATTCAGGACCAGACCAAGTGCACCCCATTTCACGGGGCGGACCCACGCACGCACACGACGAAAAGGACCAGCGAACGGGTACACGGTATTCAGCGCAGTGCCATACACGGCAAACACTGCAGGAGCCAATTTGGCGTCACGCGTGGCACGAGAGGTACTGTCGTCCTTCTTGGCGCTAAAGTACGACGCCCCCCACACCAGTAGCTCGGCACCCGTGACGCCAAGCACTAGTGGATACACCATGAGTGTCGGGAGCGTCATGGTCAGTCGCTTTGCCAAGAACGCGACACCTGCTGTTGTTTTCTTGTGTGAGCTGATCGTTTTTGCGAGATGAAGGCCACCTGCGATGACAGAGAATCCCGCGTATCCTTTCGAGTCGTGGCTCCAGAATCGCTGCCAACGGTGCTGCGCATGGGTTCTGTGGTCAAAGGTTTTGCTCGACGCTGTCATTGCTACGAACGACGAGTGAGCACGTTCCAACTCCCTCTTTAGACTGCGTGTTGGCAGCAGTCCAGACGCTATGCGCTTTGTTCTCCAACGAATCGACACTAACAATAATGACTCGCAACCTGCTCCTTGTAGGCATTTGCACCACACGTCCTTGAAGTTGGCCAATGTTTCGCGACAATAATAGGATCGCCACCCACTATCTCATGCGCTGTACGGCTCGCGACAAGACCAAACTGCATCGCGTCTCCACTTTGTCCTGCCTCTTCTTTTCCTTTAACTCTCTCTTCTCTCTCTCTCTCTCTCTCTCTCTCTCTCTCTCTCTCTCTCTCTCTCTCTCTCTCTGACTGTGGCCGCACGTTATGACGCGACATGACGAAAACGAAACGTGTCGCACGGTTCGTGTCAGCTGAGACAAGTTACAAAAGTGGAGCTCCTCGCCCTTCGTCGTCCATCACGCAACTAGACGCTCTCTTCGTCTACACCACTGGCAGCTCCCTCCCTCTTGTGGCGGTCTGTGTGTTTTAATGACGTCGCCGTCCAGTCGCTCGTTGCTGCACACCGCTACTACCTGCAGCGTCGCCTCACTGCGCAGTGCATTGACGAGAGATCAACAGCTTGGCGCTTTACCACTCGTTACAGCAGCGATCGATGCGTTTCTACGCAAGACGAGGCGTCTCCAGTGCAGCGACAGTCATAGCAGCTCGTCAGGCTTTGAGCGCGAGTACAGGGAGCTCTGTCGCTGCATTCGCAATGCAGTCGACGACGACCTGCTGCTCACGCCTCAGACGAGAGCGACGAAAGCCAAGAACCGGTACAAAAACATCTTGCCATTCGAGAAGACGCGCGTGAAGCTGCAGGACACAGCCGAGGACTACATTAACGCCAATTACATTGACGGAGGCTACATCGCCTGCTGTGCACCTGTACCTGCTGCGATCTCGGACTTTTGGCACATGGTCTGGCAATGCGACGTCCATGTTGTGCTTATGCTCACCAAGTTTGTCGAGCAAGCGAGGCTTTCGGCCGATGTGTACTGGGACACACGCGTGGACCACGCGGTGGACTTTGATGGAGTGTACGTGAAGCTCGTGGCTGAACGTAAGCTGCCGTCAAGCCAGAGCATTGCCACGAGAACGTTCAAGGTGTGGAAAGTGGACGACGCGGGACGCGAGAGCGAAAGTCGAGTGGTTCAGCATTTTCAGCTGACGTCATGGCCGGACCATGGAGTGCTGCAGGACTACCGTGTCGTTGCTCTGCTTCTAGACAGCGTAAACAGCTACCAACGAGAGGCATCGCAAGCGCACAATGTGGACGCAAAAGTAGTGGTGCACTGCAGTGCGGGCGTCGGGCGGTCTGGCACGTTCATCGCTATTGACATTCTGCTGAAGCAACTGCATCGAGTGCTTACCGACACAAGCGACAGTGACGAGGAGAAGGCGCGGGCGATGCAGCATGCAATGGACGTTCCACGTGTCGTCCACCGTTTGCGATCGCAGCGACCTGGGATGGTACAAACTCCGGTACGTCTCTCATCAGTTGTCGTGTTTTTGTCGTGTTATCCCACGTGCAAATATTCACCGAGTGCTGTTGTTGCCACGCAGGAGCAATACCGGATGATCTACCAGTTCCTAGCTGCCGTGGTGAGCGTCGAACGGCCGTGGTGATGAATGTGTTCAGGATGTTATCACGCCAGCCACAATCTTGCCAGTGCTACTGAAACCAGTGCAGACGGTTGTGCATCACTTGCAGCTATGTCACACAATTTCTGTGGTTCAATACACGACGTACCAAGGCAAAAGGCTGGCTGGTCTGTCCACCACCTACCGCGTATCGGCGTTTCAGCTTGTTCCTGTGGACTGGAAACGCTGGCGATGCTCTTCTTCGATGTGTGCGCTAACATCGGAGGAAATTTGGCGCCTCATCTTATTGCTCTCTTGCGTCTCTTAAGCCACAAGAGAGCATAGGACAGCATTCGCAACGTCTTCTCAGTGTGATGATTGTCAAATGCAAATGGAGTGCTTCGTGTGTCATACGTACGTCTTACACCTGTTGTGTGTGAAGCGAGTGAACGTCAACTGCAGCTATACCTGTTTCGAGACTATCTCAAGAGCTTTTCGCATTATTCCGTTTCGTTCAGCAAGTGATACTTGACGGAAGAGCTTTATGTGTTTGTAAACGGTCCACCTCTAGAAAGATAACTGCAGTATGCGTCGTGTATTAGTTGCCTTTCAATTTTGCTTGAATGATAAAGCACTTTACATCGAATTATGATGCCGAAGTAATACAGCAAGAAGGTATCTGGACTGTGTCTAATTTATGGATTCTAGGGACAGTAAAAAACATACATCGGTATGTCGATAAGATAGGAGGTCATGTCACAATATGGAACGTGGAAATGTTATGAAACATGTAAACGATGCGGTCGAAGCTACGCATGCCTAGGATCTTACAGTTCAATGCTTGCCTATCTCTTATGTCGGTCCACTCGCCCATCTTGGCGCAGGAGTAAAAATCGATGAATGGCTCGCTTCAGCACAACTGACCAACTTGATCAAATGATCACGTGGATCGAGGGCTCATTAGCTGATCTACTCGAAGGAGTTTATGCTGTCGTTCGACGTCTCTTCACGAGACGATTAATGCGAAAGAATGAGAGGAGAGAGGAAGCATAGCGTTTACGTGTCACCCTTGCATAAGTTGTAGCCATGGGCACACGAAATTAGCATGTGAAAACGCTACCACGAAGGGAGTAAAACGAGATCGAGGATTTCACCGCCAAGCTGGTGCATATCGTGCGCACAAGTGCAGCGGAATCGTCAATAAAGGGACCAGCGCTACACGACCCACTCGGGAATCAATCTGACGCGACACTGCAGCAATTGTACCCTGACTTAACAATTTCAGTAGAAACGAATTTGGCACTGCCGCTGCGCTTTCGACAAGCATTACCATTTACCGCAACTATGGCAATCGGCCAGACGATGTAGGCATCATAGAAGGCCAGCAACGCAATTGAGCATGGCCAGAACCAGCCGCCGACGCTGCGTCACTGAAAAAATTATAATTGCGATATAGTCCACGACATACTTCCGCAGCTCGATGTCGACTCGCAGTCGGAGAGACAATCAGACTACTTGCCGCGCATGCTTGAAGTGCATCTTTCTCGTTTCGAATAATGTAAAATATCGATCTCCATCTTCAAAAGCTAATCCTCAGTCAATACTGTGGCTGATTTACCATTTTTGATTCTCACCGTTATATCGTACTTCTAGGCCTGTTGTACTTACGGAACAAATGCTCTACGGTTGTTGTGTCTTTACGGGAACTTACACTGACGCATTTCTCGTCAGTATGCCACTCGTATCGTTCCATGTACCAGTCATTTGTTGAGTGGCACCAGCAGTCGAGCGACTTCGAACAATGACAGAGTTCGAACGTTGCATTCAACATCTTACCTCGTGTACAATCATACCTGTGAAGAGTAGCGGTGAACAATTAGTGGATACTACGGCTTGATCCTTGACTTGCCCATTTCTACGTATCGGATCGACTCGGCAGTATGTTTGACCTTGCGCGATCAGACATCGTCGCAAGACCGTCGTCACTCGAGGCCAAACTCTTTACACGCGTTTGTGCAAGTCTGTTTGAAGTTCGTATCGCAATGTGATACTGCCACCTTCGCAAAGTATCACCTTGCTAGATGCTAGACGCTAGCTAAAAAACAAAGCTTCGAAGCATTTGTTGCCGCGATTGGACAAGGGGGGGGGTCGTTGCCAGTACCGTGCCGTACGACCTCGCAAGTCCTCCCTCTTGCTCTGCCTGGAATTGACTTTCACTGTCCTCGCGAGCGTTTCGTCCCTATCCAGCAGCTTTTCGATAACTTGCTAGAACGGGGTACGCGTCAAGTGGATAGACGCATTGTCAACCGATGTAGTGAGCCGTAGATCGACGCTGTCACTCTAGCTATACACGCGCAAGTGTGCGCTACATCTTTGCGATCGATTACTGCCGTGCTTGTCCAAAAAGCTCGTGTCAGGGATCGACAGTCGACCGTGACATGGAAACGTGCTGCTTCCGTTGTTTTGTCACTGCGGCAATTGAGATGGACTGCAAGTACCCACTCACTTGTCTCGAGCGTCTCTAGTCTGCAAGAACGCGGGGGCAAGTTCGTCACACATCAACGCACGTCGGTTTCTGGGATTTGGTCGGATAGAGATATCTACTCTCTTTCTCGATCTTTCCTACAGTAGAAGTGCCAGTCAGAGCCGAGTCCGTTTCCTTCAGTATTTTGGGTCGACGGAACGCGCCCAATTCTGTCATATCGCACATCACCGACAACTTGTCAGCACCCTCCTTCTTCAACACGCAGAAAAAGCGCTTTTTTGTTCGCTGCCTCACCTTGTAGTCCGGATCGTACTTAAAGTCGCCCTCGTTCAAAAAGAGCAAGTCTATCAGGAGCAACAGGAGCAGGAAAATTACCAAAGTAGCCTGGAGGAACACGCCACACGATCAACATTGACCCTCTCTTTGATCCAGCATGGAAGAAAACACTCTTCGTTGGCGAATAAAACACGAACCCAGAGCATCCAGGCCGCCTCAGAGGCTGCAAACGCGACAAAGATAAAGAACACAATGACAAGAAGCTGCAGTTTCTGTCGCAGCGCGGAGAACCACATGACGGCGTCGCAGTAGAAAGTGGTAAGATCCAGAGAAGAATCCGCGCCGGCAGTCGACTCGCTTCGTGGATGGTTGAAACCCTACAACGGGTTTTCACTGGCTCAACAAACCGCGGGCTAAAAAGCAATTGATTCGAGCGCTGCCTTTTCAGTGGTCAAAATTCCGATCTTTTCGCTCTGCCAGAGGTTGTCGACAGATTGACGACGACAATGCCGCCGCCCGGACCGCCGTCTCCGGCGCCGTCTCTCCCGGCCAAACCGCTCGAGTCGGTGCGTATGAAGCGCATGCAGCTGATCCTGCAGAAAGCGCTCGACGTGTCGGTACACGCTGCATCGCTCGTGGATCTACGTGCGTGTCTAGAGAGCGAATGCCGCGGCGACGAGGACCTTCTTGCCGCGTTTTTCCCGCCTCCCAGCCCCGAGAGCTTGGACGAGGCCAATACCGAAGAAGTGGCCGCACAGGCAGTCATGAGTTTGCGGCAGAAGGTGGAGACGGTGTTCCAGTGGCTGTGTGAGACACACGACGTGGAGACGGAGCTGCTGGAGCTGGAAGAGCTTCTTCGCGAGGCGCAAGAGCGACAGCTGCGGCACGTCGCAGCTGAGGAGAAGAAGAACGAGCGTCGAAGCGAGAAAGAGAGCGGAGAGAACGAGCACATGGAAGTCGAGCAGGACAGAGGGGAAGTACTACAGGCGACGAAAGCGACGCCTGCAGCGTGGATTCGTGCGGAACGGCTGCATGCCAAGCTGGAAGAGAAGAAGGAGCTCGAGCGACTGGTCGGCGCGCTGGAGACGAAGAATCAGGAACTCGATCGGGTCGTGGAAGAGAGACGACGCGTGGCAACTGCCGATGTGCAGCGCATGCAACGCGCAGCGACGCAGTTGGAACAGGTGCGCCATCTTGCGACAGAGTTTGCCACCACGTTATGAGATGTCGAACAACTCGCTTGTTCTTGTGGGTGTCGGGATAACTAGTTGTTTGTGCTGCTTTCTCTGCATCAAACTGTTCCTTTGTGCCACGCGCACGTTCGTTTCCCGAGTGGGTCATATGGTGAAAGCTTCGTGAAGTGTTTCTTGATGTGGCGATGCTGTGTGTCAATAGGCGACAGTGGCGCGATTGATCGCCCGATGCCATGTCAGTTTCTACAGCGTGGCCACAAGCATGCGTGCTTGTTCTACACTGCTCGTGCACACACAGCCCAGTGTCCGTCGATGGCGCTTCTCGTCGTTTGCTCGCTGCACGTTCGACACCAGTCCTCGCCCTGGACGTTGCTATCGTGTCTTCTCTGCAACAATGCTGCAATTGTCTTCGACAAGCAAGGTTGTTGCAGTCGTTCACCGCACTAGACGAGTACATGGAAGAGCACCGAGTTGCCCATTGCATACAGTGCGAGTTGAGCCGCAAACTTGGCAGCCAAGCCCAGCACAACGACTGCAACTACGTGCAGCGACGTCGCCTGAGCTGGATCTTGTTCTCCCAGCAGCAACTGCAGTGCCAGTACGTTCGAGACGACGACAAGAGCGCCAATCACGTGGACGAAGCTCCAGTGGACTTCCCAGATCACCGTCATGAGTGCAAACAGCTTCCCGAAGCTCGCAATGCACAGCGCACTGCTACACTTTGTCCACGGCGCGTCTTGATCGTCCGCGAGCAACTTGGCGCGCCAGCGCCGGCGAAACGGGTCGAGCCAAATGGCAGCAAACACACTGGCAAAGTACACGACGTTCTCGACAAGCGCGAGGCAGACCAAGTGCAGGGAGAACTGCCCAATCAGTCGGCCCGACGTGGCAACTGCGCCCTTCGCGTCGGGCAGTTTGTACATGGACGAGGCCCGGAACGTCACGCCAGCGTCCTGGTCCACGAGGTAGGCCTTGACGTTCATGTCGAGCATCACGAGGATCCAGAAGAGCTTGAGCGTCGTACGGCACGACACGGGCGTCGGCAGGTTGCACAGGACGTGGCGGTACACTTGGGGCTTGAGCAGCAGCACGTCGAGGAAGAGCACAATGGTCTCGTACTCGACGTACTTGTCGGCGACGCTGTTGCATGCGCGGCAGATCGCGAGCCGCAAATTGCCTTTGCCGTAGTCACGCACGAGCGCGGGCACGGGCGCGCCGCACTCGACACACGTGCAGCGCGGCATTGTTGACACGACCCGAGCGGCTTTTTGACACGCGAGGTCGGCTGCTGGTGGTGTGGACTTGCGAGTGGTGTTTTTGACTCGCGAGTGGTGTTTTTGACATGGGTCAAAAAGAGGTACGATTGAAGTGCGGGTTACGGTGGACTCGCTATCCTGCTTTGTTGCACGTTAGCGGTCTGTAGCCATTACTGGTGTCAGCGTCCGCGTGGGTCGACATAAATGACTGCAAACGTCTACCGGCGAGTCGCAAACGCGAGTGACAAAGAGGCGGTCGGCGCCGCTACGGTTGACGCATCGTCAGTGAAGAATGACGTCGCTCGAGCGGCCTATGTGGTGGGTTCATTGTCGATGGTGTCGTCTTGCTCTTTTTGGGACAGGGACGTGCTGTAGCTTTAAGCGCTTTCAGCTTTATCTCATCACGTATCCAAATGCTGATGTTGTGTGCATACTTCGCGACAGGATCGGCACTCTCGCCGCAAGGTGTTTCCGATCCGCACGGGACTCGCAGCGGCAAGTCTCTTGATTCTCGGGTGTATGTTGATCGGCACGAGCACATTCATTGGCCTCGACGAAGAGAATCGCGGGTTGTCGCTCTTTTTCCTCGGGCTCATTGGTAAGACGGACGACACGAGTGCCTAACTGCCACCTCGCATGGCGCATATGTCGACATCGCCCCTCGTGCTTTGTGTTGCGACGTTGACTAACGTGGTATGTTGCATGTGCGCACGTGTGCTTGGTGTTTGTATGACGGGGTACGACGCTCGTTACGCAGCATTTATCCCGGGTAGCTACGCAAGCTACCAGCTCTATGGTGCGTGGAAAGGCTGGAAAGGGTACGATTACAGCCAGCTGCCGTCCTATGACGATTAAGCGAAACGACTTGACCTCGTCTTCCCCTGTCTTTTGTAACCCTCTCTTCCTTCTCCTCTCGGGTGCAGAATCGATCAGGAAAAAGGGTATCTTTCAACTTCAGCGTGGCACACACAAACACCCCCCCCCCCGAAACCGCCTGTTTTCTCGCACCCGAATCCTTCCAGTCGCACCACTCCCCTCTCAAATCCGTTCGCCCCACCCCACCCCACCCGACAGCAATTACCATAACACAAGAACACGACCACTAGCAATACCGACCACAACCACAACCACAACGACGACAGCAGTACGTCCGTAGCGACTGCCACTCGCCCATGTGGTTCATTGGATGGCCCCTGGGGCTCCTCCTCTCGGCGATCTCGAGCATCTTTGGCATCACGGGAAAGCTGCTGCTCAAGCTCGCGCACAACGAACGCGATCGCGAAGAAGAAGAGCTCCTGCACAAACTCGAGCAGCCGCTCCATTACCACAACGAAGAAGCAAAAGCAAACGACGAAACAGCACAAGACCATTTGCCGCAGTTTGCGAACGCCCGTCCCGTTGTTGCCACAACAAATCGAGGCTGTGTGTACTTTTACTGCGGTCTCCTGTCCATGATCGTGCTAAATCCTGCGCTCGGCGCGCTCGCGTACTGCTTTGCGACGCAGTCGCTGCTGGCGCCCATGGCCGGTCTCACTATTGGCTGGAACACGCTCCTGGGACCGATCCTGCTGCCGCACGAGCGACTCACGACGAACGACTTTGTCGGGGCCGTGCTGATCTTCACGGGCTGTGTCCTCGTGAGTGTCTCGGGCACGCACGCGAGCCCACCGCTGCCCGTGGAGCAACTGGCAGCGCGCTTCGCGGCACCGCCGTTTATCCTGTATGCACTCGTGTTGCTCGCCGTGCTGAGCTTCTTGATCCATTATGCAAAGCACGCGCTGCATTTCACCACAACGACGCGGCGCGCAGGCGTCAAAAGTTCCCCCGTGTCGAGCCCGGAGCAACTGCCCCTGATGGCCCGCGTGTCGCTGAGTGTCTTTGCCGGTGTCATGAGTGGACAATTGTTCTTCCTGGCTGCGGTGATGCGCATTGTGCACGACGATGGCGCGAGGAGTCGCATCTGGTGCTTCCCCGCGACGTATATCTGCATCTCTGGGGCAGTCGGAACAGCTCTGTTTGGATTGTACCTCTTGAACGAAGCCCTTGCCGTGGAAGACGCAGTTGTGGTCATTTATTTGTACGAGGCGAGCTACATCATGGCGGGCGCAATCTCCGGGCTGTGTTTCTTTCGCGATATGGAGCACCTGCCGGCATGGCACTATGTGCTCTATTCCCTCAGTCTCGTGCTGATCCTCTTGGGCATCTACATTGTTGCCAAACGGTCGTTGCCACATGCGCCGGAGGACGAAGAGTTCTTGCTACCGCTCTTGGCGCCTCCGTCAGCGGAAGACGCGTCCATTGAGCGGATCTTCCAACAAGCTTCTTACTACGCCCGTCGGGCATCGTATTCTGGTCCGGGGATGCTGCGCGCCATCCGAAGTACCCGTCATGATATGGGGGCACCTGAGCGCCGCAGGTCCATGTCGACCAAGTAAGTCTGGCAGTTCAGCGACGTCGTTACGCAAGACTGCGACAGTGCAAACGACCAAGACCGAAGCCAGAGGACGCGGTAGCAATCGCAGCCGAAGATGCTGAGCAGAGGTGGGGGTCAAGAATCAAAGAGGGGGGACGACAAGAGTTTTGTAAACGCGAAATAATATCGTAACAGCAAACCACTTGCTCTATACACTGCAAACGTCGGCCAACAAACGCACTGGAGCCTGTGCGTTAGAGGCGTCAGTGCATGAGTTTGTTGGTCCACAGCATCAGAGCTCTTGCTACTATCCTGACCACCCCACACGAATACTGTAGTCGAATCTTTTGTGCAGCTTTTTCTTGACCCCAAGTAGACAATTGCGTACTGGCTGCAAAATAAACAAGTTGGCTTACATCCCAGCACACTCGACGCTGGAGTTTTGCTGGTTCCTTCGTGGATGAACACCGACTGTTTCTTGTGCGCCCAAAACATGTTGACACGATCACGTCTGGTCGATCAATATCGTAACTGCTGTGAGATAGTTGACCAGCAATGCGGTCGGTCACTGGTGCAACATCTCAATGCACGTATATGTGAATGCGTGCACAATTGCTCGCTCGGGATTGAGCCAGAAGCATACACAGGATCTGAACTCGAGCTTACGGCCATAGCACGAAAACGTCATCAACTTGGCTGTCTGAGTCATGTAGCCAAGTGCACGTTGCTGCATGCTGCGTGTCCAGCAGAAGTGACCACAAGGTATTGCCTACGATGCGCTCTACAGCAAACACGTCCCATGGAGCGGATTGAATTTACAGCGGTAGGCCAGGAAATAACTGCGAGTCTCAAATGCATCTGATGGTGCTCATGATTGTTGTCTGGCCTTGGTCAACTCTCGAAGCCAGACCTGAACGATCGCTTCCATACTCTCTTCGGCCTGAGCAATGACAGTGCGATCAAAACTGCCGCGCTTCAGCGCTTCGATTGCCGACATCGTGTCGCGTACAGCTTGCGACGAGTATATCACGCCATCATACGTATCTAGACGCGAAAGCCGTCGCTCATCATCAACTCGAACAACCTCTTGCATGGCTTCAGTCAACGTTTCAGCATTCCAATTCGTGTGCTGTTCTTCACTCGAGGCAAGTGTGCCCTGCTGACGCGAGAGGGACGCAGGTCTAGAACTCGAAGCAGGATCGAGTCGATGGCACATCGGTCCACGTTTGTCAGCTGTTCTAGCCACTGGACTTCGAATCGGCGCTTGATCACGTTCAGACGGCACTAACACGGCGCCGCGCTCATCCGTGCGGTCCACGGCGGCATTTGCCGGCCCTTTTCCACGATCCTCGACAGCGTCTCCGGTTCGCACTCGTTTCGAAGGTCGCGGCTTTTCGGGCGAACCCACGCGACTCAGCTGCAGCTGCAGCTTCTCGTACAGGTACATCACATCCAAGTTGCCACAAAACTGGGCAAACCCGACATCGGGCGTCTCTAGCTGCTTCCATCGAGCCAGACACGCTTTGTAGCGAGCTGTAATGTCTTTCCAGATCGAACAGAGATTTCCAGCCGTGTGCTGCAGGGCCAGTGCCAAGTCAATACCGTCGTATCGTCCAGGCGGGCCTAGGATTCGATGGCGTTCCGCCGCGTACGAAGTATACGCCACCGCCACGTCTTTCCAGTACTTTGCTCGACCGTCAACGACCTTTTCGTCCCCTTCTTGCAGCAGAAACAACGCGCCCGACTCGTGGATACGTCCAACAAACGCGCGACTGAACAAGACGTTAATCAATCGGAATCCACAGTGTCTGGTCCAACTGCCTCTGCCCATGCGCACTGCCGTTCGTTTCGTCGGCAGTAGAGAGAGTACAACTGATACTGCGTCGCCGCGCTGTCGCGCCCGTCGGTACTGAGTCAGTAACTGGATGTACCCCTTCTTGTGGTTCATCGACGGGTCGGCCTGCGGGTTGAGTCCGAGCTGCGTACAGGCGGCCCGAAGCTTCTTGCAGAGGTACTGCTTCTCCAGCGCCTGCGCAAAGTCGTCTTCGGGTGCGTGCGGGGGGAACTCGCGCACGAATCGAGCGGCATCGGGCACTACAGCCGGCGCAACAGACGGCACTCGCGCGGCAGACGCCGTGCTCGACATTTGGACACGAAGCGAGGGGGTACGATCGCTACGTGGGGTATACTACCGGCAGAACTGACGATACCATTTGGATAACCGGTTTGAGACGAAACACAACCGGTAGCAATACTTCTGTCGGTACCACGCGAGTTCGCGTCGAGCCTTCTTGATGTCTGCTGCTCTGTCGTCTACTTCGTCGTCTGTAGTGCCTGTGGACGCGGTTCGAGCGGTAGAAGACGCCTTTTTACGTCGAGAATGGACAGCAGCACTCAACGATAGCCGCCGTCTCCTTATTGCGCGCATGGCGCAGGTACAATACATACATTTGACGTTTGTGCGATGTAAACCGGTGCAATTTTTGACAAAATGGACGCATGTGGACAGCTCCGACAAGAGTCAAATGATGTGGCGGTGATGACAGTGAACGAGTACGTTGTGCACCACCTGTACAAGAATTGATATACTGTGTTGACGCTGACTCTTGTTTTTCTGCTTGTGGCTGTTGTGGTGTGTATCGTTGTGCTTCTCGTACTTGTTCACTTGTCGATGCGAAGGGAACGAGTGCTGTGCGTCTATCTCCAGGTGGTGTTTGAACTGGCGCTGGACGACGAAGTGGAGACAGCGACAAGTGTCGTGCAGCACTTTGCACCACTGACAAGCACAGTTTCGATTCAATGGATACACTTTCTGCTAGCGATGAACCGTGGATTGATGGCCAAGCAGGCGCTTCGAGACTTACTCACGTCGTTAGCGATGGACAAACGAATGGGCCTATGCACCAACGAGTACAACAAAGCTGCGGAGATAATGGTCTTGCAATTGTTACTACCTGACGAAGGCATTGACGCTGCACGGCAGTTCGTGATGGAAGACACAGAGCTGGATGATGGAACGAAGGCGGTACGGACATGGAAGTGATGTCTTGAGATGGTTCCAGCGATGCTGACGTGTGTGTGTGCTGAAATGCGGACATTGCAGCAACTGCTTTGCCGGATTCAACCGGCATCCTTGGCGGCTCAACAGGCCAACAAAAACGAGTCTGTGCAGACTTCATCAGCGGAACCGACAGGGAGAGATGCAAATGCTGAACCGCATGCGACTCGTGCTGCCCATCAGTTGTTGTCGACTGCGTTTACGGGGAAGCAACAGACTCCATCCACGAAGAACGACGACACCAGTCGCTACGTGATGGTGGGTGGCACTGCTATCGTACTAGCTGTCGCGGTGATCGGTACATTGCGGTACCGCGAGAGAATTCACGCGTGTGTTTCCAACGCTGTTCCTGCCATCCACAAAGGCGTCGCAGATGCAAAGTATGCGCTGTTTGATGCGTAAATGGCAACGGAGCTCAATGGGACGTATGAGGAAGCTCATGTATGTGGTAGTGGGCAGTGCTGTGCTGTGCATTGTTCAGGCACGCGTTGCACCTCGAGATGATGCTCCGGACTCGCATTTGTCCATGGCTGGTCGATTTTCAGCATCGAAGATTCTTGGGCTGCCCGCGCTGGTTGCTGAGCTTGCTCAAGTTGTCGATACAGTGGCAGGTATGAACACTGCGGTATTGCGTGATGAGCTTGCATGGCTTTAAGTCGTAGATGCGATGTTACTTACTTGCAGTAGTCCATGCTCTCCTCAAACGGGATCAAGCGACTGTCATCCGAAAATGAGGCTCGGGCTGTGACCAAACGTGCACACCAAATCGAAATCAGATGGACGCAGTTCCTTGTGAATACTGCATGTAAACTGGATATGTGGACGTCCATTGGTCCTTCACCGTGTGCTTGTGCGTGTCACGACTGGCAACAGAGCAGAGGTCAGCCGGTCAGCCAGCACGCTTGCTCGATCGATTGCCTTCTTCTTGTGCGTCACATGCTACGCTGGTACAAGAAGCCTTCCACTCGCTCATCTAGACATGCTGTATCAGGCACCACGTGCAGTTCATCGGACAGCCAACGCCACGACGAAAGCGTACGCACGTACTGCACGACGGAGCCGACTCGACCCCGTCGTTCCAACAAAGATCGGTCGACTGTACCACCAGTGTACCCCCCACACACACAACCCGCGCCTGTTCGTCCAACCAAGTCAACCAATCAACCATCCTCTCTCGCGGACAGGTTGTTGCAGTGTTACCTCTATAACCGAATCATACAATAACTCTCGCAGCCTCTTTAATCTGTTCAGCTACCGGTATCCCACGTCTCCATCTCTCGCGGCCTCTTTAATCTGTTCAACTACCGGTTTCCCACTCTCGCAGTCGCACACGTCGCGCGTGGTGGGTATCCCATGTTGATCCCCGCGCTCTCCTTCCGGTCGCTGAGCTCCGTGACGGACGCAACGGACGCGCTACTGCGCCGTCTCAGCACATTGGGACTCGTCTACGCGTCTCTGCCGCATCAGCTGCTGCTCGAAGGGGCGCCACTCGCTCCGCCCGACCGCAACGCAGTGCACTCGAAGGCGCTCAAGACGACTGTGCTGGCCACTCGCACTCTATTAGGTCCGTTTTCACTCGAGATGGTCGACGCAATGGTCTCGTGGCTGGATCAGGGACTGTCTCAGGTGCTAATGGACGCTGCGTCGAGCGAAGACGCCGAACTCGAGCGCGTCGCTGTCGCTGTGTCGGAGCTGCCCGTCGCGCGAGTGGTCCTGCGCGTGCCGCTGGCGTCGCTGCGCACTGAGACCGTTGCGCACGTTGCAGCAAAGATCGAGCGCTTGAGTCGTGTGGCCAGTGGGGTGGTACTTGCGCTCGACGCGGCCACGTGGACGCTCGAACGCGACGGAATCGACGCGCTGGTGGCGTGTTTGCAGACGCTGAGGACGAGCGTAGAGGACACGTTCTTGTTGGCTGTCGAGGTCAGCACTGGACTGCTGGCCGCTGGAAGTGCAGAGAAGACGTTGGCGACGATTCAACGTCTTCATCACTGCAACGTCCACGTCGTGGCCCCGGGGTATTGCCACGGGGAAGCAGAGGAGACGAAAGACGTGGTCGAGACCACTGGCGGAGCAGTGGTGGATGCTGCATTGGCATTCGTCGCGTGTTTACGGACTGACCGTCCGGATGGCCTGTTTGCAACGGTCGTCGCGGACGAAGCTGGCGTTGCGCTCGGACTCGTGTACTCGAGTGCAGAGAGTATCGTGGCTGCTGTGTCGAGTGGACGTGGCGTCTACTACTCGCGGTCGCGCGGGGGTCTGTGGAAAAAAGGAGAGAGCAGCGGCCACACGCAGCAGCTGATTCGTATCGATGTGGACTGCGACAGCGACGCGCTGCGCTTCACGGTGCGCCAGACGGGCGCGGGCTTTTGTCACCTGAACACCCGCTCGTGCTGGGGTCACGATCGCGGCCTTCGTGCACTGGAGAGCATGTTGTGCAGCCGCCACGAACACGCGCCGCCTGGGTCGTACACGAAGCGGCTGTTCGACGATACTGAGCTGCTGCGCAACAAACTCGTCGAGGAGGCACAAGAACTCGCAGAAGCCGAGTCGATCTCGGACGTAGCAGGCGAAGCCGCAGACCTGATGTACTTTGCGATGGTGCGCTGTGTGGCTGCTGGCTGCAAGCTCAGCGACGTCGAGGTACCAGACTTGCGTCAGCTCGAGATCGATGGTTCGGCCGTGTGCGTGTTTTCCACTAACATTTGCTGCTGCTGCCGTGGTCGCGTGTTGACAGAAAATGCTCGACAAGCGCGCGTTAAAGGTGAAGCGACGACCTGGGAACTCGAAAGCGCACCGCATCGCGGCTGCCAACGAGATCTTGCATGGCAAAGCGCTGCCCGACGACGACTCGAGCAGTGCAACGTCAGCGAAGAGCGACCAGAGCTAGAGGCTCGATGAAGCAGCTGACGGCGGAGCAGAGACCGCCTGGTACGTCGCACGTCCGCCGCTTCCTGTACAACGTCAATAGAGCAAAAGAGTGCAGCAGCAACACCAAGTGGAAAGACCGTCCGTCGTGTTTTTCTTTCGCTCGTGCTTCCTGACGACCGCAACGGGTCGAGGCAGCAGCTTCGGTCGTCGACACTGTGCCGCTACTATGCCCGTGGCTCCGTCGTGAGGCTTCTTCAACGAGGTCACTGAGCAGCAATGTGCCGCTCGACAAGTTGACGTACAATGACTGGGCCATGAGTCCGCCTACGCGTCTTCGTCGTCGTACTCGTGAATGCCCTCACCCGCGTCCTCTGCCCCCTCCTCCTCCTCCTCTGCGTCCTCTGCCTCCCCTTCCTCCTCTGCCTCCTCCTCCTCTTCTTCTTCGTCCTCTGCAGCAAACTTCGACCAGTCAACGTGATGGTACAAACGCTACCACATAGACACACACACACACATACACACACACAAGTCAGTTCCTTTCGCCCAACTAGACACCTACAGACCCGTCACACAGGCGCCAAGTCTCGACGCGCTCCTCCCACTAATCCACAACGCAGCGATCCACCCAACGTACGCCGCGATTGTTGGCCTCCCAGACGTAGTTCGTGGCCGCGCCGTAGACGCCTTCGCCCACCAGTGCCGCCACCAGAACCGTCGTCACGTACACCGGCGTACTCTTCATGAACGTCTTGTAGACGCCATCCAGCGCCCCTTTGCCGTTCACGGACGAGCGCTTCGTCGAGGCCATGCGCACGCGTTGGCGCGTGCTCTGCGAGGCGGCGCGGCGAACGGGTCGACTCCACATGTTCAGTTCGTACTCTCTCGCTCGCTCGCTCTCTCTCTCTCTCTCTCCTTCTTCTTCGCTCCTCTCTGTGCCGCACGCGCGCTGGCGGTTCAGTGGCTCGTGCAAAAGTGGACGCGAGCAGCGCGAGGCCCCCACGAAACCCACGAACCCACAAACCCGCTCAGCCTGCGGCTCCGAGCGCGTGCGCGAGTCGAACGACCTTCGAGCCACATCCACGTGCACGCCATGTCCAGCGCTTCAAACCCGCTTCACCGAAAACAAGCTGCTTTTTTTCTCCGTGCGCAACCGCTTTTTCTATCTTTCCTGATTCGGCCGGTCGGCCGGCCGATCGACAGTGGGTCTGGTGCGCACACAGATGTGGTGGTGGTGGGTCCCTACCGAACGGCCCACCCACCAGTCGACTGAACCCGCGCGTGTATCTGTTTCTACGCACGCGCCGCCACCCCATATGTGCACCACACCAACGCCCAGCGGGTTCGACCTGCCCGAGAGTATGCCAAAAGGGGGGGGGGACCCCGCGCCACAACGAGCGCGCGCGCGCGAAAAGAACACGAGAGCAGAGCCATTGCCCGCCCGTCCGCCCTCTCGACGTACCCACCGATGGCGCCACCTGTTGCTACCGGTAAGCGACGGCGGCCCGCGAGTGCGCTGTTGGCGCCGCCGTGTCGCCGGTCGCGCGTGGACGCCGCGGCGCTTGTGGACCCCACGACGGCATTGAAGAAGCGGCGACTGGACACGCCAAGTGCAGGAGCTGGTGGACTGGTTCAGTGCCGTTCGACGGTTGACGCAGAGGCGATAGGGCTCGGGACGAAGCGACGGCGCGGCCGTACCCCACGAAGCAAAGAGGAGGAGGACGAGGAGGAGGAGGAAGAAGAAGAAGCGGAAGAGAAAGAGACAGAGAAAGCGGCGACGACGACCAGAGCGACGTGTGAGCAGACGAGAGAAGACGAGACGGGTGTCGACGTGGTCGGAGGCGAGTTGAAGCGACGTCGCGTGGACGGAGACGAGCGCAGTGCGGGGCGTTTGCTGCCTGCGCTCGAGGCACGGGTTGGTCTATTGGTCACTAAACAGAGGGAGTCGCCCTCGTGTGGGCGTCTGGCACGGACCCATCAACGCACGATTACAAGCGACGAAGAAAAAGACGAGGACAATACGGACAATACGGACAATACGGACAATACGGACAATACGGGCAATACGGACAATACGGACAATACGGACAATAAGGACAATACGGACAATAAGGACAAGGGCGACACGGACGTTCGGGTCGGGGCTGGGACATCGAGTCGAGAAGTGGACGCCGTGCGGCGTCTGGACGACAGGAGAGACGACGCTGCAAGTCACGGGACTGTTGATGGCGGTCCGTCCGTGCGGCCGAGCGACGTGGCGCTGGTCGGGGGTGGGACCCCGAAACGACCCGACGACTGTGAGAATGTCGCCACTGGGGACGAGCAGACCGCGCGCGTGCACCACCGGACGTCGCTCCGGTCGGTGCAAGTGACGCCGCCGCCGTCGACGCGGATGTTGGACCGGAAGAACCCGCCGCCGCCGCCACGGAGACCCAAGCGGCGCCATTACGGCGGCATTGTCTACGCGCGGACGTACCCGCGCTTGGCGCTGTCGCCACTGGTCGACGACTCGCCGCCGACGTCGCCGCGTGTGTTTCGTTCGCTGGAAAACGAGTTTGCGTTTGCAATGCAGGACACGCCCGAGATCCGGCCTCGAGTTCGGCCAGCGCCGCGGATGGCCCGGGGGTCCCGACGGTCCACGCGCGCTGGGGCCTCGCGCGCGCATCGGTCGTTGGCCACGCCCACGTCGACAATGGTCTTGCGGTCCCGACAGCTGAACCCGAGCTCGAGTGCAGACGGGGGCAAGCCCGAGAACCAGCGCGAGCGCGAACAACGGGACGCGCAACGCCGACAATGAAGAAGAAGGCGAGGAACGACGACATGTGTGCGGGTGTCGACGACGACGACGATGCCGCGCGACGGGCGGCAGGCGGTCTGGGCGCCCTGCTTTACGTCTTTTTTTTATTGTTAGGTTTAGCCTTATTTGTAGGAATCCGGGGATTCATTTGGGGCCGAGAGAGAGAGCGCAGCGACCTCGTTCCGTGTAGTTTTACTATGTGAAAGCACTCATTCCATTGTATCAGTCCTATTAGTGGGTTGGAAAGGGGCGAATGACGGTGGACGAGCTCGTCGCGGAGCCACTCAGCGTCTCACCCGCTTTTGACGAGCTATGAAAGTGCTGCTGCTCAACGAGGCCTCGCTGAGCGACATGGAGGTGCTCGAGCTCATGCAGGAGCGCAAAGACCAGCGGCTGCACAAACAAGCGACGGTCGAGTACGCCGAGCGCAATTGGATGGACCACAAAGTGCTCAAGTTCCTGACACAGAGTCACTCGCGCTGCTCGACACTGAGCGCCCGTTGCATTCAGGACTTCCTCACGGAGCTCGCGCAGGCGGACATGCCGCCGTTGACGTCGGCCGAGAAGCTGCAGTTCATGAACCACATTCCCGTGGAGCTCGTGGACGTCCATTTGATCGTTGACGACTGCGCTGGACGCTATTCCGAGACGCAGGTGGACAACCTCATCCACATTGTCGAACGGACGCTGGCAGCGGAGCTGATCCAGCAGCAGCGACGGACTGCTGAGACGACGTCGATGGAAGACGCAGATCAGGAGGCAGATGAGAAACAGCTGATGGACGCAGATCGCTCGTGATATAGAGCGACACGATGCACGATCGGTGTCGTGGGAGCTCGAGACGTCAATGGCCCGTGGTAAGTCGCCACGTGCGCCATGTTGAAGCCAACTTGTCCCACTACGAACAGCAGAACCACAGCATCAAAAAGCAAAATCAACCCACTTGTTTACGCACACTTCTTCTAGCAAGCGAAAGACTGCAAGACACGTGAGGGCCGACCACCTGCGTGCGTGCCGCCCGAACATTCTCCAGCTATCTGCTATACGGTCTGAGCTAGCGCGATCGGTCCGTCGCTCCGGTCACTTTGCGTCCACAGCCTGCGCGTTGGATGGGCACAAGGTGAGCAGACATGCAGGGGGTCGGGCTCACTGGGAGCTCTTGGCACGCGCAGTCTGTACAGCAGACCGGGCTTCGGGAAACATGCCGACATACTCCTGCGACGACAAGTACCTTACACTGATTTGACGCTTGTTGAACCAGCGGCCGTGCAGCTTCTTTGCGGCCGATATGGCGCTGGCCACGTTGTCGAATAGCACGTACACGAGTCCGCCCTGCTTCTCCTTCTCAACGTACGTGTGCAGTACCGGCCCGTATTGCCCACACTCTTCTTCCACGTCCTGCTGGATCTCCACGGACCAGTCCAAGTTCCCGCTCTTCTGCTCCTGGTACACATCGAACATATTCTTCACCACGAAACAAAACGACTCGGTTCCTTCAATCTCCGTCGAGGACATCAGTGCCGCTGCTTGCTCCGCCCGCTGTGCAGCACTTGCAGCCATGCTGTTGGTCATGTCAGTGGTAGACACGGAATAGCTCGCAGCGCTTCGGACGCTACTTCCCATCGCCATGGGAAACAGATTCACGTCATTGCCAGCGAGCTTGGCCATCAACGCCGAGCGTGACAGCGCATTCATGCTGAGTCCCGTGCCTTCATCGTCCTCTAGCTTCCATCGCCCGCCTGCACCACCAGTGTCTGCACCGCCTGCACCTGCTCCGTTTACGCCTCTTTTCCCGCCACCCATCGCATTTTCGTTCACGGGACCGAGATGCAAGTAGTTGCCTGCAAGCTCGAGTCCGTTCCCTTTGGACAATGCAAAGTTAGCTTCCTGTGGGCTACTGAACTGAATAAAGCTAAACCCCTTCGAGCGGCCCATTTCGTCGCGGTTTATAGTCACCGACAACACTTCGCCAAATGACTGGAACACGATCCGCAAGTCATCCTCTGTAATGTTCGTGTGGAGGTTGCCGCAATAGATGCGACTTGCCGCAGATAGTGCCGACGCCGACATCCCGGCGGCACCGCCACCAGCAATCGCGCCAGCTATACCTGCACCCGAAGCATTAACCGAAAGTAGAGTTGAGCTTGCTGCCGTGGCGGCGTTCACCACCGAGTCCTTCTTCGCAGCAAAGTTCTTCTCGGCTTCCGAGGCTTTGATCATAATGGGAAACACCTGAAAATCCGGCACCTGTCCGTTCAGCAGCAGCACTTTGGGGACATCTTCCAAATTCGACAGCTCTACGTACGCAAAGCCCTTGGAGCGATTGGTAAACTTGTCGCGGATCAAGAGCACACTCTCCACTTTGCCAATCTTGGTGAAAAACCGCTCGAGATCCTTCTCGCGCACCTTTTGCGTCAGCTGGCCCACAAACACGGTACGATGGTCACGAGTGAGCTCCATGAGCTCACGCTGCTTAGCCCGTTCCGCCCGTTCTGCCGACGTGCTGCGCTCGCGCACCTCGACTGGCGGCGCAGAGCGCGATCGACTCTTGCTCTTGCGACTCTTTCGCGACGGCCGTTCCCGGCTACGACTTTTCTTCGAGGGTCGTTCTCTACTGCGACTATGGCTGCGTCCTCTGTCTCGTCGAGGACTCCCGCGACTGCGATGTGGCGAGCGAGAGCGACGTGCACGTCGGCGACTTTTGGGTCGAGACCGAGAGCGCTCTCGATGGCGACGACGCGAGTGGCTGCGACTGTGCGACCTGCAACGACGACTGGACGAGCGACGTCGGTCGTGTTCCCCAGCTCGGCTGTCAGTGTCTCCGTTCCTCGTATTCTGCGGGTAACGAGCCTGCAAGCAATGCACGAGAGCCCCAAGCAAAAAACCATACAGAAACTCCCATACGACGTGAGCATCCATCCCAAATCCACCTCACGGGCTGTCGGTCGGTCTGAACGCCCCGAACGTCGCCGACACGCCACAACGAATCACACTGCATCGCTACTACAGTGCACACTGCACCGCCAGTCGTACCGTCGTCGCCGCGGCCTGGATACCGTCCTGCAGCAGCAGGTCAATGTCTTCGCTTGCCATCGTTTGCATGACTCTCCTCGCCCGACTGCGTTCCAGGGCGCCAATCAAAAGCGAGAAGCCATTTCGAGGCAATGTGGTGTAACAATGTAAGTGGTGCACCCAAAGAGCCTACGCAACCGCATAGTCGCTTCCCTACGCAACAGCCTACTTCCTCGACCGCGCAGTAGTGGTCACCGTCGCCCATCGGACGAGCGCTCGAGCGACCGGCAGGTAGGCAACGCACCGACGACAGCAGCGAGCAGCGATGCGGGACACTGGCGGCAAGACAGGCGGAAAGCCAGGCGGAGCTGCTGGCGGTGGCGGCGGCGGCAAGGCGCGCAAGAAGCGCGAGAAGGGCGGGACGCGCAAGTTTGTGACGTCGCTCGAGGAGATGACGCTGCGGGACGAGCAGGAGGACCTCAAGCAGAGCGCGCGCAAGGCGCGTCGGGACGACGGCGAGGACGGCAGCGACAAGGACTCGGACGACGCGAGCGGATCGGAAGACGAGGGCGACGACAACGACGTGGAGCTCGTGGCGTTTGAGCGCGTGCCGAGCAACTCGCTCTTTGGCTTTGCGACCAAAGCCGACGGGCCCGTGTTGCCGCACCAGCAGGAGAAGAAGGTGGGCGGCTTTGCCGCAATTGCCAAGCGGCAGAACCCGAACGCCAAGAAACCGAGCAGCAAAGTCATGAAGGCCAAAGACATGGACGCAAGTGCGGCCCCGCAGCAGTTGAGTCGACGAGAACGAGAAGCGATCGAGAAGGAGCGCGCTGAAGCTTATTACTTGAAAAAGCACTTGGCAGGCGAGACGGACGAAGCCAAGAAAGACCTGGCGCGCTTGGCCGAGGTCAAGCGGCGTCGCGAAGAGGCGGAGCAGCGCAAGCAGGACGAGGAAGCTGGTCTGTGCACGTGGACGAATGAACGCGCGAAGGCTCGTGTGTGAGCGATGTTGTGCTGATGTGTTTGGGTGTGTATGACGATGCAGCTGCTGCCGAACGGGCGAAGTCCGGCAAGACGGTGCAAGTCAAGGACGACGGTGCGTGATGCAGTGCTGGAAGCATCCGCTGCTACTGCTGCTGTCGTGGAATGTGCGCATGTGCAAATGTCGTGACGACTGGGCTGTTGTTGTTTTTGCGACAGATGAGCCCCTGGACGCGCGTGCGATCAAGGCGCTCAAGCCAGCGGCGCTCAAGGAGAAACTCAAGGAGCGCGATCTATCCACGCAGGGACAGAAGAAAGAGCTCGTGCAGCGTCTCATTGACTACGAGAATGAGCGCGCTATCTAAGGAGCTGCACAGCTCACGCAGACGCATACACGTACGTCGGTCGGTCACCGCTTCTTTGTGTCGACCGACCCCGTCATCAATGAAACGCTCGTTCTGCTTTGTCTCGTTTATTGATCCCGTGGGGAGAGGCCGTTCATTGATCCCGTGGGAAGGGCAGAACCGGTCCGTCCGTTTGTCCGTCCGTCATCTTTCCGCCAATCAATCAGTGGTCGTCTCGATCCGTCACCTCCGCCGCCGCGCCATCGAAAAAGACGGTCATCGGGATCAGCTATGGCATCGACGTCGGCCGCGCAAGCCGAAATGGTAGCGAGTTTGATCGGCGCGAAGGTGCTCGAGACGCTCGAGCAGAAGGACAAGCAGCTGGACGAGACCATCAAGAAGCTCGACAAAGCCGACGACGACGAGCTCGAGCGACTGCGCGAAAAGCGGCTGCAGGCGCTGCAGCAGACGAGGCGCAAGGCGCAGGAGCTGCGCGCGAGGGGCCACGGCACGTACGCGACGATCTCCGACACGCACGAGTTCTTCGACACGATGAAGCACAGCGACAAGGTCGTGGTGCACTTTTTCACGCCAGCGAACGCGTTCTGTCAGCTCGTGGACGGCCACTTGGCGCGCCTTGCGCCGCACCATGCCGAGACCAGGTTCGCACGCATCAATGCCGAGAAGGCCGAGTTCCTGGTCGACAAGCTCGGGGTCTGGATGATCCCGTGCCTTGCACTGGTGCACAAGCAAAAGGTGGAAAAGATGGTCCAAGGGCTGGACGAGCTGGGCGGGACGGACAAGTTCTCGACGGCGTTTCTCGCCCACTACTTGAGTCGGCACGGCATGTTGACGTACGAAGGGCCGGAGCCTGCTCACCCGTCCGATAGCTGCGGAGGCGCCTATGCAACAGGAACGAAGCCAGCGCACGTGAAGCAGCAGCTCGACCAGGAACAGATCAATAGCATCCGCCAGAGCATCTTCTACGACAGCGACTTGGAGATGGACGACGACGACGAGTAGCAGACACGTTGACCGACAGCGCCACAGACCGTCCTCCACTGGCTGGGGACAAGTGCAGCACAACGTTAGTGAAAGAGCTCGGTCTATATTGCTTGAGTCACACCGTGTGGTCTGCGTCACGTGGGTCGATTCCGTGGGCTTCTATCGGGTTCATTTGACTGGACGAGAGGCACTGGTGACGGTACGCTCGTTGTCGCTGCCGCAAGTACAATTTACTACTGCACTTTGGGTCCGGTCGGGCGTCCCGTAGCGTGTGCCACGTCGTGTCCGCCTTCTCAAGCGCATCGTGACGCCACTTGGACAGGTTGGCGAGCGTCCAGCTGTCCCTGCCGCTGGCCATCACTGCTTCGGCCCGGTCTTCGAGGCCGAATGCGCGGACGTCCATTGCACTGGGAGTCCGTGCGACCTCATTGGAGACTGCAGGACTCGGCCGTGTCGCTGTTGCGCTCTTGTCCGACGTGCACGTGGGCCGCTTCCGTGGACGCATCACCAAAGTGTCCATGAGACAATGCCGCCCGCTGTCGCTCGTGGTGCAGCAACAACTCGAGCGATGATTGGCGGAAAAGGCAAAAAGCGGATATGGCATTGGTTAAAACACACAACTGGTCAGAAGCAGCACCAGCAGTCGAACGGGCAGTCTTTCGAGTTGCCGCCTGTGCCGATTTGCAGCGACGACTCGGTGTAAATGGGCAGTCCGTTCTCATCGTAGCGAACTGAACAAGTGGCACCGACAATTGTTAGGGGAAAATAGGGTCAAACGAGCAGTCATCGCAGTTGCAGCAGTTGACGGTACCAGGTCGTGGATCCGGATTGAGGCCGACTGCAGTGGAATTGGTGTCTGTGCACGTCACAAGCGCAATAAAGACACGGTCAAGTCAGCCCGCGTCGTCCGTGTACCACCAGGCAATGTGGTTCCAGAAGCTAAAGACGTACTTTGCGCCTCGAGCTTTTTGATCTGCTGCCGTAGTCGCTCCTTTGCCTTCATTTCATGGCGCTCGGCCTCCACTGCCGCGAGCTTCTGCCGCTCGTCTTCAGCACTCTTCTTCTTCTTCTCCGTCTTTAGCAGAGTAAACAACTCATCGACCTCGCTCCCTTTCGTCTGCTTCGTCACACTCTTGTGGGTTGCAGCAGCTGCAGTGGAAGCAGTCGAAGCTTTAGCTGCTGCTGCTGCTGCCCCAAAGCTTTTGTTTCCCTCCTTGTTTTTGTTCTTTCTTCTTCTTCTTCACACCGCCAGCAGCTGCCACGTTCACGAAAGCTCCTTTTCCAGTCACTGGTGCAGTCGTGGCCTTCGACTTTGCATCGTTTGCAAAAGATGGCTCGAGACCTGCTTCACTGCTTAGCGTTCTACTGAACGTGGCCTTCTTCTTCTTTGTCTTTGTCTTCTTCTGCTCGGATTGGAGTTGCACGGACGCTGGTGGCTGTTCGTCGATCTGTGCCAATCAGACGAAAAAGAAGACATCAATACACAGGCGATCCATTCAGAAAGCAAACGATTGATATGCGTACACCACTCGCTGCCTGTGCGCGGCTCCGCTTCTTACTGGCCATCGGTTGGTCTATGAAATGGATACAGCCGAGTCAAGGCGGACTTGCCTCCATCGCACGCACGGGACGACTTTTTGACCAATGGCAAAGGAACAACACGCTGCTATGTAATAGTCTGGGATACAAATGACGGAAGTGACCGTTTCCCACATGCGACAGCTTCCCACGCAATTGCGATCGAGAGGCCTGCGGTCGCTTTCTAACTTTCTAGCTCCTCCCTCATCATGACCGTATTGCCAACATTGTTGCCATCGTTGTTGCCAACCTGGTCGCCACATCACCAACACGTCCTAGCAGCATCCGCTCTTCTTTTTCTTCTTCTGACTCTCGGTCGTGTTCTCGGCCGTAATGGCAATGCTGTTGCCTGCAGGCAAACTCACTGTCGCCTGCTCCTCTGCCTGCATGGTCTTGCGACTCATGAGCTTGTAAATCTCCGTCAAAATGCGCTGGAAAGCTGTATCCACCCCCGTCGCTTCCAACGCCGACGTCTCAATGAACGCCAGATTATTCTTCTCGGCAAACGCCATGGCCTCTTCGGTCGATACAGCCCGAGCATCGCGCAGATCGCTCTTGTTGCCCACGAGCATTATCACAGTGTTGGCGTCCGCGTGATCACGCAGTTCCTTTAGCCAGCGCTCGACGTTCTCAAACGTTCCGTGCTTGGTAATGTCGTAGACCATCAGCGCACCGACTGCACCACGGTAGTACCTGTCACCAACACCCACCCACGCCCACGCACAAAAGCAACACGTCAACCACACTGACCCAGCACCAACGATACAAACAATCGACAGGCGCACGTACGCGCTCGTGATCGCTCGATATCGTTCCTGACCCGCCGTGTCCCAAATCTGCGCCTTGATCGTCTTGCCCTCTGCCACAATGGACTTGGTCGCAAACTCGACCCCGATCGTGCTCTTGGACTCGAGGTTGAACTCGTTGCGCGTGAAGCGCGACAGCAAGTTCGACTTGCCCACGCCCGAGTCGCCAATGAGCACGATCTTGAACAGGTAGTCGTACTCGTCTTCGTGAGCTGAAGCCATAGCTGTCCGAGCAGATGTGCGTTTTCCTCTAGCGACTCGCTTCGTCTACGGCGGTACCAAACACACACAGCTCTCTCTCTCTCTCTTTCTCTCTCTTGTTTGTCTCTCGTTTCTATCTGGTCACTCGACCCGCGTCGACTGCACAGGACGAAGGGGTTTCGTGACGACTGGCGGACTGACTGACGGACTGACTGACTGACTGACTGTAACAAAGTCTCACGTGAGATAATGTATCGCTCGGCAGCTCTGGCTCTGAGTCGGTTTCGTTACGTACGACTTGGTCCGATATAAGTTGTGCGAGGGTGAGCTATAAAACACGAGAGGAGCGATCGAGCAACAACCAATGAACGAGCGCGTGGGGACAGCAAGAAACTGGTGGGTGGGCCACCGACACCACTTTGGGAAGTGGACGCCCAAGAACGCAAACGAGTGTCCGACTGTCTGTCTATCTGTGAGTTTGTCTGCTATCGTACCTGTCTGTCGCTCCATGGCGACCGAACTGTTTGAGGATATCTTTGAGGTGCGGCAGCTCAATCCGGATGGCAAGAAATTCGACAAAGGTGTGTGTGTATGTGTGTACTGCTCGTTCGTTGCAATGGTCGACGCTATGGCGCTCCTTGTTATCTTTGCTGCAGCTCTATTGGACCCCAAGAGCTCGTCGCGTACTCACTGGCTCTGATGCCCTGTATCCGTTGCAGTGACCCGCGTGGTGTGCAAGGGCGTGTCGTACGAGCTCGAGTTGACGCTGGACATCAACTCGGACGTCTACCGGCTGCGTCAGAATGAAAAGTTCACGCTGGCCCTGGTCAGTACGCTCGACCTCGAGGGGAAGCCGGATGACGGTACCTACAGCCAGTCGGGCAAGGTGCGTCTTGTCTCTTCGGCTCGTGCAGTCGTCGATGGGGAAACGACTGGACGCTGCGGTGGTATGCGGTTCACCTTGTGGACTAAGCCAAACGATCGTGCGTGTGTGTCTGTAGCCAACGCTGCTGGACCGGTATGACTACGGCATGTACGGCAAAGTGTTTCAATACGACCACGAGGGCGGCAACATGGTGGCCATTTACGCCAGCTTCGGTGGCCTGCTCATGTGTCTGCGCGGCGAGCAGCGCCACTTGCACATGATCCACAATGACACACGAATTTACTGCCTGCTCCGGAAACAGTGAGCAAACAAGAGTGGGTCCTGCAGATCGAGCAACATGTCAGCAATAGACGAGAGCATAGCCTACTGCTCGTCGATGGGCACAGATAAACGCGAGAGCCAAGACAGCGGGCTGCTCGATCAAGAGACGCAAAGTTTTGAACTGCAGAGTCTGTCCGATTGTCACATGCACGCTGCTCTTCTTCAAATCACGACAGGCTGTTGACTCTTGCGGCTGCTGCATTGATGTAAAGTGGTGGTCCTGTCTCTTCTGGTTGTTGCTCGTGGTCACAGCGAAGCGGCAATGCAATGCATAGCCCCAGCGCGCAAGCTGTGCGTTGCATTGGCCAGCGCCGCATTCAGCGCACCAGTCACTTGTCTTCTTCGGCCACCTCGCGCATCTTCTTGTAGTATTCCTCGCGGGACACGGATTGGGGCGGGTACTGGATGTATTTCCACTGCCGTTTTATATCACGTCGGCACAACAAGGCACACAGGTGGTCAGTAGACTGCAGTCCAAGTGCTGCGAGTGAGTGCGTGTGTACACAAAGCCCATCCGTGCCTATGGTCTGTGTACCAGCCACTATGCGCACCTTGTCGACGATAAGTCGGATGCAGTCTGGCTGGGCGTAGATGTACGTGGCTATGACAGGGACTGAACACACACACACACACGTGTGACAGTTGTCAGTGGACGTACAGACCAACTCGGACATTGACGCGTGAGGGCAGTTGCGTACCGCTAAAGTACATGCCAATACGCGCCCACTCCCACTTGGCACTCGGCATTTTGTGAGCAGTTTTGACGCTGGAATTCCAGCAGACCAGTGCAAAAAGGTTGCGCGAAGGTCGCTACAAGACGAGTCAGTCGAGGTGGTGGTTGTTCATCTTCAAGAGACGGTATCGAGATCAGTTTGCCGCCTCTGCCATTGCTGTCGCTACGAGACGGTAGAGAAGACGCGTGTTGGACATGTACAAATAGTAGTCTGCATATAGTCCAGTGGAAGCACATTCGTCAAATCAAGGCAGAATTGGAAGGTCACGGCTTTTTCGTAAAGCCGCGCTGTACCAGTCGATCGACTACGTGTCGAACCGGATGATGATGATGACGACGACGGCAGCTACAACTTCGTGGACAATGAAGATAGTCAGCTTCCGTCGATGCGACGTCGATACCGAGAGTTGTTCTGGGTGGTGGGATGTACTGATAGCAGTAGGTATTGTGTGAACGACCGTAGCAGACGTGTTTTTTCTCATCACTACAACGCGTCAGAAAATATGCAGACACGACCCGAACAGCAGCGAATATGCAAACGATGCGGGCCATCCGAGCTTGTTCTTGCACTTGTTTTGCAAACGTTGCATGTATTATGGCGATTACTACTTGTGGGCGCAGGCGATAGTACCCGGCAGGTTACAGTAGAATAGACGGCAGGTGTTGTTCCTATCGGCTGCAAAATATGGTCTATCAGGCATCGAGTTTTTGTCCCCTTCGTCACGGCCACGGTCCTTCCTTACAGTCGATCGACCATAAGCCAGTTCAAATTCTGAGCAGCATGGCATTATGAAAGCAAATGCAAGGTAGATCTTCATAGTCTTCAAGCCATTTCTGCCGAAGGTTTTGCACGCGATACCGCGCACGTTCGCTTTTCGATACCAGGAAGTCATTTATGCTCATACCTTTGACACAAATGACCGACATGCAACCTGTCTCAACTCCTATACCCATCACGCAGCAGGTGCGAGTTATGTTGCCAGCTAGTGATCTTTCGAGACGCAGGTCTAATATGTGAGGTCCAAGAAAAACGTGATTTATTGTATATGTGATGTACAAAAAGACCTAAACATTATCGATATTTGCATAGCAATGAGACTCTGAAAGATTTATAAGCGATGTATACAATGCAACCACATGTATACACGCTGACATCGCATGGATTTTCGATAATTCTGGTGATCTTTTACGACAATGCTTTGACAGAGCAAAAAATGGACTACTTCTGGCGCTTTGGTGCTACCGGATCCGATAACTACGTTCGTCATGCACTTCGGTACACGTCTTATGAATGTTGCTACAACTGTGCCTTTGCTGCAAAATACCTATACTCTACGAACTGACTATCCAACATTTCGTGTGATCCTAGAGGAAACAACTATAACGAGATTGTGGCCAGCTAAAATGCTTGAACACATTACCACGCTTGAGTGTGGACAAATAGGACTGAGATGTTTACACTCGTATACATCATGCCTTCCTACGTATCCTAGCACTTAGAAATACAGCTACCAGACGGCAACACAATCGTCACTGCCTCCATCAGCTATGTCTTCTGTGGCGACTGTAACATCTCATCAGCTTGCGCGCTTTATCAGATTACGTTACACATTTCGTACTGAATGCTGTGTCGATACCAAATGATTCGTCCAGCTCTCCACTAAAATGTCACTGCTTTCTGTCCTCACGTATGCATATATATGGTAAGGGACGTTCCTTGAGTCATTTTTACTGCATTGCAAAGCGATGTTTTGATTTTGCATTGTCTGTACCTAGGGAAAGTCAGCGACATTGCCAGAGCAACAGCTACGCAAAAATACCACGTCGGACGATAAGATCCAAACGACCCTAGCAGAAGCAAGTAGTTATTCTGACGACATCAGTTTAAATCTGAAGGCTACACTTTACGGTTCATGGCGACTATCTCCTCTCGCATAATATGTGTCTGACAGGCCCTGGGCTGGCAGAGGGACCGATCGGGCCTGAGGAGCTTGTTGGAAGGCAACTCTGGGATGTATGGTAAAAGTGAGAATGCATTGAATGCCAGCGATAGCGCGTGGCGCTCTACAGATACTCTTTACTGCTACTCTGTGTGTCGTGAGCGCTCGCTGTGTACTACGTCTCATGCGCGTGGGTTCATACTGGCTGATTCTGGTCTGGTTGGTAATGATATGCAATGAGCTGACAAATCCATTTCAACATGTAAATATAACATTTGGTTTTATTCGATGTTTCATTACCATCTCGTGCGCTACATTTTATTTAAAAACATACCGTTTGTGGGATAAACCACGCGTTGATGTTCCACAAAATGGTGTCGTCCATTTTGATGTCTCTCTTCCATCATACATGTACTCGACTGCTCCATTTGAGTACTATTTCCAATGAAAGTCGAAACGGAGCAGCACGACAGCAGCAACGGCGCCGACGCCGCGACGGCCGCTCGTCTCACTGCGGGTGAGTCCGCGTTGTCAGAAATGAACGCCGCATTTGCTCGCTGTCTGTCCCTCGTGTGCCCTCCGATCCAGTACCCGCCGCACTGCCGCTTCAATCCCGTGCGAGACGCAGCCGACACGGCGGAGATTGAAACGCGCCTCGAGGAGTTTTTCCTGCACGCGAAGCAACTGGAGCAGCTGTTCCTGATCGATTCAGTGCGCAGTTTGTCCTGTACGGGTCTGGAGTCTTCGGCCTCCGACGACGTGCCTGAAGAGCTCGAGCAGTGCGGAGCAAAGGACGGACAGCAGGCGAGCGAGCTCGAGCTCGAGATATTGAACCTCGAGGCCGAACTGGCCGAGAAGAACGACCTGATCGACAAGTACACGGACGTAGTTCGCGGCTGGGAGGGGAAGTTCAAGCGGCTCGAGCACCGCATGTCGCCTGCGCGCGAGTGAAGAGAAGTGCGCTACCACTACACACGACCAACGAGACTAATTGTTTTTTTTATCGTTCCTTCGTTCGTCGATAAAGGTGGGGAGTCGAGCTGCTTTGTGTCGCGCAGGTAACCGCTGCGATCACGTGACCTGCCGAGTCAATTCCGTCGCACGAACGCGCGAGTAGTGGCTGCAGTGTGCAAGACATGCGCTTACTGAAGCGTCTCCCAGGCCTTGAGCAGCACGTCCATGTGGTCCGGCCTGCGCACAGCAATGCGTGCAAAGGTAGGGAGGTCGTACCCGGGCTTGCCGCTGCGAATCGGCACGCCATGGTCCTTGGCGAGTTTGCACGCGGCTTCACACGTGGCAACGGACTTGGTGTCGAGCCAGATCCACGACAAGAAGGGCTGGCCAAAGAATTCCCACGTCGGGAAGCGCTTCGTCAGCTCCGTAATGGCATACGCGCGCCACGCGGGCGTGACCTCCCACGTCTTTTGCAAGTACGCGTCGTCCTTGACGACCGCCGACACGAACGCCAGCGCCATAGAATTGACCGACCAGGGCACTTGCTTGGCTTTGATTGCTGCGGCGTGCGCCGGCGTGGGCGCGACGACGCTGCCAATGCGCAGCCCCGTGCACGACCAGATCTTTGTCCAGCTCACCATGACCCACACTTGGATGTTGCGGGTGTCGCTGAGCTGCTTGATCCACTCGCGCTGGTGCACGAGCGAGTCGGTGCGCCAGTCAGGGCCGACCCACGGCTGCATGCTCTCGTCGACAATGATCGTGTGGTCGTCGGGGCACGTGGTCGCAATGTAGCGCTTCATGGCCTCGACGTCCATGTAGTCCCCCGTCGGGTTCGTCGGGTTCACGACGCACGTGAGCACCGCCTCCCGGTCGTCCCACGCCAACGTCTTGCGCCCGTCCGCCTGACTCGAGCGCTCGTACTCTTTGTACTGCGTCCGCGTGGCCCCCGGGCGCCAGCCGCCGCGCCGGACGCTGCGGACCACGAGGTCAATGAGTTCGCTCGCTCCATTGCCCATGAGCAGCAGCGGCAGGTGCTGGCGCCACGCGTTGTCGTTTGGCCATAGAAACGCGGCCAAGTGACTGACCGCGGGCTGGAAGTCGGCGGGCGGGTAGTGGTGCACGGTGCGCATGGCCTGCGTCGCGGCCTCGAGCGCGCGCGCGGGCGTGCCCAGGCCATTGGTCGTCACGCTAAAGTCTTGGGTGAAGTTGGCGAGGAACTGCCAGTCTTGGCCGCCGTGGAACGTCTGCGTCGCGGCGTCCCAGACGTGGGCGTCGGGTGTAGCCATGTTGGGCAGTCGCGAAGATATTGTGGGAGCAGGTGCTCGACGCGGCGGCGGAGACGGAGGGGACCCCGTGCGAGTGCCGACACAGCGTCTGCGCCGTGCAGTAGTCGTTCAAACGAGGGAATTCACGGGGTCGGTATCCGGACAGCGCGCCCGACGGGACAAATGGATTGACCGACCAACCGACCAACCGACCGACCGACCGACCGACCACTCGCTTAGCCATTCACCGACCGACCGACCGACCGATCTCCACATTAGCTGTTGACGTGCTGGCGTCGGGAATCCTCTCGACGTGAGACGTCTTCCCACCGCTCTCCCTCGACCCCTCTCGATCCACAAGCACCTGGTGCGCTCCCTCTTTCTTCTCTCTCTCTCTCTCTCTCTCTCTCTCTCTCTCTCTCTGTCTGTCTGTGTCTCTCTATGTGTCTGTGTCTAAGTGTGTGTGCGTGTGTGTGTATTTCACGACCACAGCCACGACGACGGCCGCTGTGCACCCATTGACAAGACCAGTGTACCCATGCGCGTCTCGCCGACAGCAACGGCCGTGAACGAGTCCACACCGCTGATCAGCAGCAGCGGCGCCAACGCACCTGCGAGTGCGCCGCTCGTGTCGCCCAGTTACGCGGCGACGTCCCCGTCGTCGTCGGCCTTTTCGCCCTTTGCGGTCGTCGACGAGCCCGAGCAGCCCGAGCCACTAGTGGCCCACCAAGAAGAAGACGACGACGAAGAGGAGGACGAGGGGGACGATGGGCACGACAGCTGTCTGGGCAACGAGCACGACGTGGAGGCCGGTGGTCGTGAGAGTCGGTACGCGTACGTGGCGTCGCCTGCCAAAGTCCTGGGCTCTGCGTGTGTGAAGGGCGACTTTTTCCAAGCGCAGAGTGCTGTGGAGATGGCAGTAAGCCGCGCGCGTCAAGCGACTGCGCTTCAGGATCAGCAGCAGGAGGAGAATCGAGCCGAGCGCGTTGTAGCGCAACACACCACGCGACGTGTGGCAACGAGCGTCTATCGTCTCTTGACAGTGCACGAAGCGAGGCACCAGATGAACGCGCTGCACCTGGCAGTGCTGTATGAACACGCAGCTGTAGTGGCATATTTGGTCTCAGTGGCCAAGAAGTACTTGCTGAACGATGCAGAAGCGCGGCTGGACACGAACCGTACGAGGCATAGCAAGCGGCATCTTCACCTACAGCTGAGTGGACATGGCGCGCCCGAGTGTGCGTCGGACGAAGACGCGCAGGAGCTGGTGGCACTGATGGAACACGACTCGAACAGCAATGCTAGCACGGAGCCGCAGGAAGAGGAAGAACACGAGACGAGCACTTGCGGCACGCTGCAGGAGTTTTTGGATAGTCGGTGTGGCGAGTCGAAGCATTGCGCAACGGCATTGATGCTGTGTACATCCGTGGCATGCGCAACCACGTTGCTGGACTCTGGAGCGTCGGTCGGTGCGGTAAACTCGTCAGGGATGACGGCAATGCATTACGCGGCAAGTACGGGCAACGCAGCGTTGGTGAGTTTGCTCGTGTCTCGTGGGGCGGATGTTAATCAGACGGACAGTCGGGGAGCCACTGCTTTGCATTGGGCGGTGTTTGAGGGGTTCCAGTACACAGCGATGTTGCTCGTGGGATACAAGGCAAACCAGAAAATCTGCGATGCCGAGCAACAAACGCCGCTCATGATTGCCTGTGCCTTGGGAGACGCGTTTCTTGCCAAGCAACTCGTCGTCGAAGGAGCGCCAATTAAAGCTAAGGACAAGCACGGCAGAACAGCGATGGACATCGCGCGGCAAGGCGCACACTATGACACGGCCAGCGCGCTGAAGGCCGGTGCGTCGGATCGATTGGTGGCCTGGGTTTCGCACAAAGGTGCATCGGCGTTTTTCTTTTTTGGAATGGTTTGCACGACAGCGACGCTGTCGCTGGTTTTTGCAGTGCCGTGCTTGCCGCCACAGAATCCGACACACACGATGCGGTACCAGGCAGCGATGCTGGCACTTGTGATGCTCACGTGCATCACGTACACGTATGTTTGCATCAAGGACCCGGGGTACGTGCCACGCTCCACCCGTCCCGCTTACGAGCTGTTGGCTATGGAAGATAATGCTGTACCGTGTCCGACGTGCGTCACACACAAGCCCAAGCGCTCGAAACATTGTTCAGCTTGCAGACGCTGCGTGTACCGCTTTGATCATCATTGTCCATGGATCAACAACTGTGTGGGAATCGGCAACCACCGTAGCTTCCTGGTTTTTCTCACGACGCTGTCAAGCTATTGCCTTATCATCGGCACAATATCCATGATCATTCTGTTGGGGAATGTTCCGTTGCATCCACCCGCGTCGAGCATTGCTGGCACCGACGTTTCGCTTCCGTGGCGATGGTTACAGCCGCCTGATTGGGCGCTAGCTGGACACCTGCATGCATCGGCAGGGTCACCGACTCTGGTCCTGCGAACCATCCATGTCATCCTCCAAATTTGCTCGATCGTCTTTGGTCTTCCGACAGCCACGTTGTTGGTTATTCAGCTGCGCAATGTCAGCCGCAATTTGACGACAAACGAGCATTTCAACAAGGACAAGTACTCGTATCTGAAGACCCCTACGGATGAGTTTTACAATCCGTTCGATCACGGCTGCACGCGCAACTTTGCCGAGGTGTGTCGCGGCGAGGTCCCAACAAACAAGGAGGAGGACGAAGGTGGGATCGACGTTACGAGTCCCGTTATGCGAGACCACGCTGTACTCAGCGAACGCTAGCAAGATGGTCAAAAAGCTTGTGGTGTGAGGTGTGCCGGTTGCTGCACTCGCGGTGATCTTTGTAGAGTTTATGCTGCGCCGTGTATGAAAGCATAATGAATGACGAACGCGGTAGCAATATGATACCATCGAAACAAGAGGGTTCATCGGGCAAGAAGTGCAGTAATTGACTGCCAAACCAGGTTGACTGGAGCGGCCAACCAGACAAGCATTAGAATGGCGACAAGTGTTGACTTTCTTCGCATGTGAAGTTCTTCGACAACTGTGCAGACGACTGTGTAGACGACTGTTAGAGACGTCTTCGGGACCTCAATGATGTGATGCGGTATAACCGCTCGCTTTACATCACGGCTCTTTGTCGTGCCCAAGCTTTCGCTACGAGAACACAAAGTCAATTCTGTTTCGTCACGCGACGTGTTCGTTTGGATGTAAACATTGGGCATAACGTTTACGCGAAAGCCCGTGTGATCAAGTGCAAGAAGCTCCCATTAGACATGACGTGTTGCTACAGCATTTCGGACGGATCAAGTTGGTCGTACACCCCCCACTCTATTGAGCTTGACAACCAAATCTCCGGATCTTACCGACTATATGTACGAACGCGAGAGGCGAGTGCGTGGCATGTACGTTAAGTGAGCATAGTATCGCCATCATATCGTAAAACCTGCATGACGCTTAACGATGACTCGGGTGAACCATTCAGCATTACTGCTTCTGTATCTCACTGTTTCATGAAAGAGGATAAGGAAAAATTGTTGTGCAGCAGAACCCAACAAGTGTTCAATCTTGACGGGACAACGTATCGTGACGCTGATATAGCGTCAGGCAAGTAAACCCAAGCTGCTTATACGTGCGAAAAAATCACCGCGATTGTAAGTACTAGCATCTTGTGCTGGACAACATCAGCAGGTACGTGTGTTTTACTACAACGATTCCATCCAGCCGCAAACGCTGGAACACCGCAACAGGCTTCGCGAACAACCAGAAGCAAAATGCTTTACTTCAAACACGATATTGTACTGCCACTGCTGATGCGCGTACCAGAATGCGTTTTCCTACCTCAATAGCATTTGACTGACGGGTTGCGCGTTCGAAGTTGTCTTACAAGCGTAATTTGGGCTTATATGATGAATCCGGACGTGTCAAATCACGGTGCAAGGCCCACAAAGAAAGCAAGTGCCTTGCATGTCGATGACCCAGCGATCGACTGCAACAACCCTTGATAGTACGCATCAAACATACTTTGGTGGCGTACACTAACTCGTGTTCCAAGTTCCAAAGTTCACGCGCTAACCTGACGCAGACCTACAACAGATAGTTATTTCCGGTAGAGATCGATGCGGTGCACTCGACCTGCCGCAGTTACGAGAACAAACGACGCCTGTGCCACGTACATCTGAGCTTTGTTGACGTCACCGCGGCCATTTTAGCTCGCTTTTTCACTCCATACTCACTGCACTCATGCGGCTGGCTACTTCTTCGTATCCAACCAGTGACCATGACACATCATCAATATCCATTTGACCTGCAGATCTCCAGTCTTACAGCTCTTAGACGCTTGCACCATGAAGCTGTAACAGTGTTTCTTACCACAGTGTGGATATCGACGTTTCATTTGCATCCAATGACTCTTCTCACATTGCTCCAGACACGCTAGTCAATCTTTCAGCCTCTCTGGCCGAATGTGGACTAAAAATCTAGGTCAGCTACAACCAGCTTTGCGTCTGCTTGTCCGAGTCCATAAGCTGGTCGATATACCTGGGATCAGCCGAACCAATTCGCTTTGGTTTGCTTGCTATGTGGTGGCGTAAACCTTCGATCAGATCTTGTGTTGAGTAAAGACAAGCGCTCTTCCGACAAGGCGGAAGCAGAGGCGCTACTAAGCCCATTAGTTCTATCGTACCTCACGCTGGCAAAGCTGCGGTCGCAGCAGGAAGTCATCACGTAGCGGCTGCCACAAACTTTCAAGTGTCATGTTCAAAGTCGTTCGACATGGTGTCAGTATAAACAGCCCCGCTGGTGCAGTGTTTACCCGCCGTGATCGTCTTTGCTAGCCAATACGACGCATGGAGATGCTCCCACGGCTTCCAGCTACTAGCCAAACGCTCACTTCGCATCTGCTTCACCTCGAAACAAAACAGGTAGTTCATCCCAATCTGACGTAGCATCGTGGAAACGATAGCCACTAAGACAACATCCTCATCCACGCCATCACCAATACCGCCGTCCTTTTCTCGACAACAAGTCCCTGCTTGTTCGAGCAACGTTTGCATCGAAAACATCGCTTCTCGAGTGAGATACACCGTTCGATACCTACCGTCATCGGTCCCGACGTTCACGCACGCGCATGCTATCACGCTACCGGGGAACATCGATCTAATATTTCCAGTCAGCAGCTTGATATTGATAACATTCGCTTTCCACAAAAGCCGACTCGATTTGCCCAGTGCCTCGTCATCTCCTGCCGTATCCGTGGCGCCTTCGGCTTCGTGTAGCTTTGGAACTCGAATAACTCGCTTTTGGTCAGCTATTGTAGCATGCTGCTCATTCGATTCCTGGAATGAGACGAAGTCCGTCTTCAGGATATCTTGCTGCACGCGCTTCTTCAGGCGTGCGAGTTCTTCACCAAAGCTGCTGGATGTAGGCAGAGCTTGCTTTGCAGAAAGACGCTTGGTCAATTTGCCCGCTTCGCACTGGAGGAGGCTATATCGTTCCTGGAACGGAGAATTCTTCGAAGGGAAAGACATGATTTGCGTGCTTTCCACCAAGATGCAGTCCAGCACATCTAGGCGCTCGTCGTAGTGCGAGATCTCCAAACCACTCAAGCATACAATCGAACCCTCTTTCCAAACACTTTTGTTCCCTCGACAAAAGACGAACGAGGACGACGAGACGCACTTCGATGGACTGTTGTGTCTTAGCTTCGGCATACTGATGTCCACACCGGAGACGCGAATACTCATCAAATGACAACTTTCATCCGTGACAAATACGTGCTTGACATACCGTATTTCCGTAGGCTCAATAGCAGGATCAAGTAGTGAAGCTTCTCCTCGTCTCTTCGCTGTAGCAGCGGAATCATCCTGTGTCACAGGAGCTGTGACCAGCACCACGTACACACAGACATCAATCTTCGGCCTCCGATCGTTTCTAAAACTACTCAGTCCGTTGTCCCCAGTTGACCGATAGTCATTTGTCGCTTGCTGAATATCAACGCAAACTCGTTCACCCGGCTTCAGCGGAGCATCATTCTTGTCTTCGGCGTCTGTCGGCGACATTGCGTCGTGAACTTCGTCGAACGTGCTATGTTTAGTTGAGCTTAGTTGTAAGTATGCATCATGACCGCGCCCACCGTCAAGCTTCCATCTAACATTCAAGCTGCTGACAAAGTACTCGACACCTTCTTTGATTCTGCCGCATAGCAACTCTTCCGGAGGACGCCAGACCGTCAAAACACCATAGCACGAACCGCGCTGATCGTTGGTACAGGTGTGCGTGCATTCTACGTCCACCTTAATAAACGGAACAGGTAAAGGGACACTGTTCGGATCGTGATCCATCCTGTCCTGTTCTACGATGTCCGCACCGTCTTGTTGATGATTTTTTAGCACACCAGCTCGAGCATACTCGGACCGAAGCTGGAAGTAAACCGGCAGCTGTTCATCACACAGAATTCGCGGTCCTAATCTGTAGTCTTTTGCCTGGAGGTATAAGATAGGAGAAACGCGGGTCATTCGAACTCGTACTGCTCGAACCATCCCGCCACCGACTTCCAAACTCCTGAGTGGGACACTTTTCAACAACGAAAATCGAAGTTGCGGCTGCTGCTGCTTGTACTGCCCATAATTTGCGGAGACTGCGTAATGTAATTTCTCCATCCCCAAACGCGTGCCGAACCGTACACGACGCGTACTGTTATAGCGCAATCGCAGATATGGCCATCGCGCTAGATCTTCTTTTGCTAGCAAAGGATGCTTCCACTGTGATTCGCGAACGATAGCACACTCGAGCGGATCGATCCCGTCCGCTGAATTTTGCAACGATGCGTTCCACACCGCAATTTTTGTCCCGACGATACCTGACTTCGCATGCAGGTTCCACAATACTGTTGCTAATGGAACATCAGGAACAGCGTACACAGAATACCACCCATCCGTGAGAACGACGGCCAGATTAAAACAGGCCGGACATTCCGCATCAATGAGATCGTTTTTATCTACAGGGTACGGCAATACTGCAGCAATGCAAAGAACCACACAGCTTAAAGAGCTCGCATCGCGATTCAAAATCTTCTTTATAATCGATCGTTTCGCATCGGTCACGTCTCGCTGGTACCGATAAGAAATTTGCCTCAACACCTGATCTTTTGTCAAGTACGTTTCCAACAAAAGACGTGGGAAAGACCGTTCCATGGCAGCCAACTTCCACACGACCCATCGATAATGGTTTAGGAACCAAGCAAATGTCGCCCCCATTTTCTTCAAAATATGCTTTCCTGCTGTGATCTGACGGTAAAGCTCACGGGGACCAGTAGAGAGTCCTTCTGCGACATGGCTCTCCGACAGACACGCTAAGCCGTTGTTGCCCATAAAGCGAACATTAACGGCATTTTCTGCCGTGATGACGTTTAGTATCTGACGTCGATAAAGATCGTGATCTCCTTTGACAAGACTACGGTCTCTGTGCAACTCCATCAACGAGGGCAGTGAAGTCGTCATACTTTCTTGGTAAATAAAAGGCTGAGCTTTCGAGACAATTCTTTGCTTCTTTTCGCTTCTTGAAACTCCGAAGCGACCAAAACCTCGGCCGCTCTCTGCGTTGCAAGCGCTTGACGTTTTGCTAGGAACTGGGGGGTAGAATCGAACTTTGCCAACTGCTTCTGGTCGAGATTCGACAAACGGCAGCAACACTCTTCTGGCCATCCCCTGCTGCCGCAGACAGTGGTGACCGCAAAACTTCGCGATGGGTCTTGTGCTCGGTCGATTCTCATTCGATATTGACCGCCAGACCTTACAGGGTTTAGATGCGGCAGTCTTTGCAGTCGGCACGTACTCGGGATGGATATTTTCTTTGTCGCCGTAATGAAGTCGCTGAGTACGGGAACTGTGCAGTGTAGCTCGGTGATGCAACCTTGTACGTGACGGACTCGATGAAGCAGTCGCACCTCGCTGGCGCCCAGCTACTAAATTCTCATCCATCAAAGACGATCTTATAGACTGCATATCCAGCTTTTCGTTCAAATTCGAACGCAGATCACCAACTTGATCGGCATCGTTCCTACTTTCATCCCGTGCCAACCGGCTGCCCTTGCAAAGTGGGCCGATGACCCACTCATCTTCTGCGTCACAGATCGAGTTAACTAGTGTAGTCTCGTTACAAAGTTTCTCTTCATATGCGCGCAGCCGCGACTTCGACACCAACATCGGCTTTCCCGACTCTGTACTGAACAAACTCGGTACAACAGCCTCGTTGTTCATCGTCGTACCAGCAGCAGCAGCAACAGCAGCAGCCGTGTCCTTGCACACCGACTCGTCTTCACCATACAGCTTCTCTTCATATGCGCGCAGCCGCGACTTCGACACCAACATCGGCTTTCCCGACCCTGTACTGAACAAACTCGGTACAACAGCCTCGTTGTTCATCGTCGTACCAGCAGCAGCAGCAACAGCAGCAGCCGTGTCCTTGCACACCGACTCGTCTTCACCATACAGCTTCTCTTCATAAGCGCGCAGCCGCGACTTCGACACCAACATCGGCTTTCCCGACCCTGTACTGAACAAACTCGGTACAACAGCCTCGTTGTTCATCGTCGTACCAGCAGCAGCAGCAACAGCAGCAGCCGTGTCCTTGCACACCGACTCGTCTTCACCATACAGCTTCTCTTCATAAGCGCGCAGCCGCGACTTCGACACCAACATCGGCTTTCCCGACCCTGTACTGAACAAACTCGGTACAACAGCCTCGTTGTTCATCGTCGTACCAGCAGCAGCAGCAACAGCAGCAGCCGTGTCCTTGCACACAGACGCGTCTTCACCATACAGCTTCTCTTCATATGCGCGCAGCCGCGACTTCGACACCAACATCGGCTTTCCCGACCCTGCACTGAACAAACTCGGTACAACAGCCTCGTTGTTCATCGTCGTACCAGCAGAAGCAGCAACAGCAGCAGCCGTGTCCTTGCACACCGACGCGTCTTCACCATACAGCTTCTCTTCATATGCGCGCAGCCGCGACTTCGACACCAACATCGGCTTTCCCGACCCTGTACTGAACAAACTCGGTACAACAGCCTCGTTGTTCATCGTCGTACCAGCAGAAGCAGCAACAGCAGCAGCCGTGTCCTTGCACACCGACTCGTCTTCACCATACAGCTTCTCTTCATATGCGCGCAGCCGCGACTTCGACACCAACATCGGCTTTCCCGACCCTGTACTGAACAAACTCGGTACAACAGCCTCGTTGTTCATCGTCGTACCAGCAGCAGCAGCAACAGCAGCAGCCGTGTCCTTGCACACCGACTCGTCTTCACCATACAGCTTCTCTTCATAAGCGCGCAGCCGCGACTTCGACACCAACATCGGCTTTCCCGACCCTGTACTGAACAAACTCGGTACAACAGCCTCGTTGTTCATCGTCGTACCAGCAGCAGCAGCAACAGCAGCAGCCGTGTCCTTGCACACCGACTCGTCTTCACCATACAGCTTCTCTTCATATGCGCGCAGCCGCAACTTCGACACCAACATCGGCTTTCCCGAACCTGTACTGAACAAACTCGGTACAACAGCCTCGTTGTTCATCGTCGTACCAGCAGCAGCAGCAACAGCAGCAGCCGTGTCCTTGCACACCGACTCGTCTTCACCATACAGCTTCTCTTCATAAGCGCGCAGCCGCGACTTCGACACCAACATCGGCTTTCCCGACCCTGTACTGAACAAACTCGGTACAACAGCCTCGTTGTTCATCGTCGTACCAGCAGCAGCAGCAACAGCAGCAGCCGTGTCCTTGCACACCGACTCGTCTTCACCATACAGCTTCTCTTCATAAGCGCGCAGCCGCAACTTCGACACCGACATCGGCTTTCCCAACCCTGTACTGAGCAAACTCGGTACAACAGCCTCGTTGTTCATCGTCGTACCAGCAGCAGCAGCAACAGCAGCAGCCGTGTCCTTGCACACCGACTCGTCTTCACCATACAGCTTCTCTTCATATGCGCGCAGCCGCGACTTCGACACCAACATCGGCTTTCCCGACCCTGTACTGAACAAACTCGGTACAACAGCCTCGTTGTTCATCGTCGGACCAGCAGCAGCAGCAACAGCAGCAGCCGTGTCCTTGCACACCGACGCGTCTTCACCATACAGCTTCTCTTCATATGCGCGCAGCCGCGACTTCGACACCAACATCGGCTTTCCCGACCCTGTACTGAACAAACTCGGTACAACAGCCTCGTTGCTCATCGTCATACTACTGGTATCGTTGGCTGGTAGTCCGACTTCAATCTTGTTTCCACTGTAGAATTGCTCACGATCGTCACTGCCGCATAAACGCGACTCGACTCGTCCAACCAGATTTCCTGTCGCTACTCCTCTTCCATTTTCCCAAGTAACACGTGTTTGCGGTGGCACTTCGCCCGACACAAACGATTCTTCACCGCCACAACTGTCGTCCCGAGTCTTTAACCTGTCATCTCTGACCACGTGATGAGCCAATTCGCCACACTGCGACGTTGATAGAGATCTCACAGGTACAACAGCGCCATCAGACGCGTTGTGCGCCACTTCTACAACTCCCACGCGTCGGCGCTTCCTTCTATCACTGCAAAACGATGTACCGTCGCTCTGGTCGTGCGCGTTGCGTCGAGCGCGCTGGCTCGTTGTCTGCTGTGTATTTTCGAGCGCCAATTGCGCCACCTGCGTGTCCTGGAACACCATAATCTGTAGAGCAGTGTCAAAGTCCTGGTCAAAGACCAGCAGCTCCGCAAATGCGTCGCGCCAGACGTCGTTAGCAGCAGACATGCGCGCGAGTTGAGACGGTGTTGATGTGGGTGATGCACGTGGACCACACCAAACTACAGTCGCACTGTGTACCCACTTGGCAAACTCAGTGTCGTGGAAAATAAGGAAAAGAGCAAAAAGTGCACCGAAGAGCTATAGATAGACGCGGTATAGTCAGTCACTCAATTACTCTCACTCGATCAGCTCCGCAAAACACTTTGTCCGTCAGGGTGTCGTTTTTCGGCGGGGAAGCGCGCACAACGTGGCTGGTCTTTTTATTATGCTACACTATCGTGGTACACGTCTTTTCTGCAAGCGCAATGTTGTGGTGGTACGTGGTGCATTCGCCATTCGTTTTGACAAACGACGAGTTGCTGCTCCAAAGGCAGCACGGCTGTCAGCTGGCGTATTGCAAAATAAGTAGCATGAGAGTTGAATGCTGAAGCAGGACGTTTCATCGCTCCATCGAGGTCTTGGCACTGTATTCGTTTGTATCCAGCAAGTTTGGAGAATACCGAATGCTTGGCCGAAATGCCAAGCAAGCTTGCAACTAACATATCGGTGGCTTTTGATCCTCATTGTATTTCTTGATTTTTCGCGAAAAAACCAAGTATGCCGATAGTTCCTTCGACAGCACAAGTTCAGTGAAAGTGAAAGAATATCAGATGTCAACAAATACTCAGGCTGCATGCATCATGTTGCTTCGTGTTTACCGTCAGCACACCCCTCCTGCTGCAAGTTAGTGTTTTGCTTGGACTTGAGCATCTTCAGTATTTGATTCAGCCAGGCCAAGTGTCGCTCAGCCTTTGCACTTCCGAGCCGCTACATCATCTAGCTGGAAAGGTGCTAGTGCCGCTCATCATGCCTTACATATACGTGATGCATGTGCCAGTATTCTCCAGCCGAAAAAGCAACTGTCGACCGGTTTCACCCATGTATATTGTTTTATCAGTTTCCATATGTCGTTACGTGCATAGATAAACGGAGATACGACCAAATCGATCTGGAAGACGAGAGGTATCCTGGCTGGAACGTACATGTGGGCATAGATAGATCTACGCCACAAATAGCGTGTGGCAGTCAATACAGCAACGGACGTACTTGATGTGCCGTCATTGTCGCGCATTAACTCGGCACTTGTCGTCTGTAAGTTTCTTTGCGTCAAGATATTGAGCATAGTAGTATAAGTGAACATTGCCAACGAAAAAGGAACAATGGCTGAGATAAGCTCGTCCGAAAGTACCTCGCAGCATGCATAAGACTCGAAGATTAAACAAACGGCAGAATCATATAGTGTGAGACAGACTGAAGTCTAAATACCATGTCAACGATACATACCTTCAAATTGTGGCAGCGCTGCAAATGTAACGGGGCAGCCCGTTACATGGAATTGTCACTTTAAGGAAAGTGACAATAAAGAATATGAAGTTAAATATTCTTTGAACAATATCACCAAAGTGATGATATTGAAGGGTCGACCAAAGAGTCTGTTCATTGGTTGATATCTTGATGATATCATGCCACCAATCGCCGCAAGACGCGCGCAATGAGTGGTGACGAGACGTCACCATACACTCAGTTATATTAACATAATTAAGTTAAGTCAAACAGAGAGACAGTGGATTAAAGACTTAATTATATTAATATATCAGTTCTGCATTTACCTTATCTACGCTTCCTCGCTTGCCACGTGTACGTCTGTCGGTACACCGAAACCCTTGCGTTAAGTTCACGCAAGGGTGTGCCCCGTTACAGCAAAGCTATGCATATGCAATCTGGTGCTCTAGTGATGATTGTTAGTTATCCAGAAAAAGACGCAAATCGTCTTTTAGCTTCACTAGTCTTTACAACAAGGTCGTGGAGGGCTCGTGTGGCGCATAGAGTCCGTGCATTTACGCGCGTGGCCCTTAATCAGTACGTTTAGTTCCGTACCGCGGCAGTCGATGCCGTTATGATCTTTGTGTAGGCGGCTTTTCTCGACCATTGGACCTCAAGATATCACTCACGATTTGTCATCCTATTCACACGGCTAAGCGTACTCTTTATCTGTATTTATTTACCAAGCAGAACAAGGCGCAACGGGAGATAGACCTATATTGGCAGTGAGACATTTATTTCTCTGGCACTTCCATGTATTTGCATATTATAATACGATGTAAATTGTGTATTCAGACGTATACAACCAGGATTAATGTTACACGACCCCACATATTACCGGGACGTGAAATGAAATTGCAGTGGCTTCGTTTGATCTTGCGAAGGTCCTGCAACCCTGATTACACGATACATCATATCGGCTATGGTCCTAGTTAACGCATCTACAACACCCCTTCTGGAGAGAGTAGTAGGCCAGAAATTTAATCGATGATCTGTAACGGAGCCACAACATTTCATTCGACAAAGGATTAGCTTCTATCTCAACGAGGTACTTCGTTATTCACTAAAACACGACTCGACGAGTCTACTTAGCTCACTGACATTCTAGTCCTGGTTCTAAGTAATTCTGTGATTTATAAAATGATCTACACAAGCTAGATGCCTTACTAAAACTTTAACTCTTGTGACGAAAGAAGCCTTCGAAAGACACATGTCTTTTACGGATCAAAATGCAAAATAATGTTTATTCAATTCTCAACATACGGATACGAATTTGGCGTATTTAACATAATGAGAAATTTTACTCGACAAGAGTAAAATTTGAAACGTATCATTGATGCCTGAAACGACACTTATTTATATGAGCGGTACACCACATGCATGGTACACATATCTAGGCTTTGGATGTACCACCACAGTGTATTACCAATAAACCATCTCCCTTTAGATCAATGTTTTACGGTCCAACACTCGTCTCAGTCCTTCTCTAGGTGGTAGTAGTGATATACGAGTAAACTCACGGTTGCACCCATAGATACACGCTAGCATGGCGCCATTGAGCTACATGCCACAGACGCTGAGTAGCATTCTCGAAGAGGCAGCAGAACATGAAATAGAAGCCAACATTACGAACAGAAGGTATCCCCAAACACATCGTTACAAGGAACGAAACCCTTGCGGCACCCAATCCGATCACAGGGCGAGGTGTCATTAGGGCGCTAGCAGCTTTGATTAACACGTAAGGCTATAAGCTTCACGAAATTACTAATAGGCTCGACAAGCAACAAATGCAAGGCATATGCATACGAAAGAAAGCTCAATCAAGGTCGACGGCCATTGCATCTGGTTTCGGCTAGAAAATTGTATGTCTTTTAGCATCCTAGCATCAATGAAACACTTCGTCAAGTCGCTGACTAATCATTGATATGGTGGGTACCCAAACTCGAGGCAAAAATGCCTAGCAAGATATATACAGCCAAACTCTACATAAGTGATATCTATCACCACAAAGTGTACGAATAAATTAATATTGGTAGCAAGTATAAACTACAAGCACATACAGAGTCAGTACCCTCGATGAGGACCGTTCTCATATCATTATATCTGAAAGAAACGGTCATTGCCATCAAGTTTTAATTCACCCAAATTAGTACCGAATGTGCGTCGATTGCACAATGTGCAGAATCTCAAACCTAGTGTCGATTGATTCGATTATCTTCCGAAAAAATTCTTTGCTGTAGCTTTGCGATACTATAGTGCTAAGGCCAAAGACGTTCGTGTGCCGTTCTTACCATGCAACACCACCAGAAAATTCTTTCAGCCCAATTTTGTTGGCTATTGCAGCAACAAGAACCAGATGTTGTCTTACAACAAATCCATCTGCACTTGCATTAACAAGGTCAAAGTGTGCTGTGACGTTTATAGATCCTTTTTCTGAGGCGTGCAATTTGTCAACGGCGTTAGGAAATCTTGACGCCGCGGGATCTTAAAAATCCATGAGCTTTTAGACTTAGGCTATCCACGCCACTTTATTATGTATTATTTACGGTAATTACAACGATGACGTCTCACGATATTCCTCACATGAAGTAAGAGGTTTTCCTTTTCATCGAACAGCACAGGCGGATACCAACAAGCCGGGGGCATCTAATGCCCATCTTTCATGAGTAATTAGCATTTATATGTACCACGTAGCGCAACACCTCTTCGAGAGTGTAATACACGCGAAATCATTTGAGAAGTTTGTACGATTTTCTGCGCATAGTCAGCCTCGTTTGGAGATGCAGCTCGATACCCTTATGCGGATGATTAATTCGTGGCACGGCCACCTTCGTCGGTGCAAGATCATAAAGGCTCATGTGGAAGCAGTTTTTATACAGCTTGAGTAAGCTGATATTACAAACGGGGATATATGCAGCTTTAGAGGAATACTTTGCGTGTGAGCAAGACCCTTATTGGCCAAGACCGTGAATGGCGCGATGGACCATGGACGCAACTTCGTCTTGAAGATGGCGATCACTATAATTTTAAACACGATTTTGGCATTGAGTGATTATTGATCTCCGACCGCATAACTTTAATACAACCTCTGTCATTTGGCATCTGTTTGTTGATTTCGTTTATCCTTGCTTTCAGGCTTTGCATCACGCACATGTCGTAGGACACATCTCCGCTTTACGAGACACTCGCTTACCTGTTTTAAAACGATGTTAGGGATGACAGAGCAAAGCCGGTCGGAAATCTCTGTTCCACCAAGCCTGAAACCACGCAGTTGTTGTGGTAAAGGGACGCGAGGGTGTGTGAGGCCGTTGACGTAGAATGATGTACAGCTGTTAGAGGCATGAGCAGCCTTATTCAACGAAAACTCAACAATAGGAAGCACAAAGTATCAGCCTTTAGGAGTATCAGCGCAAATACTGCGTAAGATGCCAATTATAACACGATTTACTCACTCGGGTGGACCATCGGTCTGCGGAAGATTCATTGTGGACATCATCAACCGGTTGCACAGTACAATAAACACGGATTTTCGAAACTTACCAGTGAAGCAAGGATCTCTATAAGAGATAATTGTCACAGGCAGATCTTGTTGACAAGAAACGCGATTAATGAATAGCTTAGATGAAACTTCGCCATCATTGGAA